TAATAATTGCCCCTGTCTACATGGCTGTGGTATAGATATTTAATTACAGCTAAGGGCACTGAACGATGCCCAGCAAACAGCAAATACCCAGTCAGGGTGAGCCATGATCATGATGACTGTACCAGGAGCTGGTCTTGTGGCTACTGCCGTGAACAAGACAGACAAAGCCTCTTCTTTTGCTAGTATGTGCAAAGTATTTGGGGTGCGATGGGGGACGTGATTTAGAGAGCGGCCAGGGAAGCCCCTTAGAGGAAGAAACATTTCAGCTAAGACCCAAGATCTCACCTGAACAAGAAGGAAGCAACTACATGAGGAGATGGGGTAAGACAGTTCATTTATTCAAAATCTCACAGCCAGATTTTGCTCTCATCATTACAGGAAAATCATGTAAATCAACTTCTAAAACTCTAGTCCTAGATTCTCATCATTTTTAAGTTCTATAGTGAAAGCCCTAGAGTACAATGCACCATCACTGATTTCTATCTGTCAGAGGTCCACAACCTAGGTTCATCTGTCAAGTTCTTTGAACTGATAAAAGTGAGCTACAGAATCCCCAAGAGATGAACAAAATAGACTTTGTCTAAAATGTATGGAATTTTATGAAGACCCCTGAGTTGACTCTTGTTGAGTTAATTCTTTTGTTAACCCTTTCAGAACTGTCTCTGAGTGCCATCTCCCTCCCCTTCTGGTCCGCAGACGTTCTCCACCACCTCATCATGATGTTGGGGATTTGTGCCATATTGTAAGAGTTAGCCAGGCCACTGCCACTCCTCCACCCACAATCATCCTCAGCAAATGACAAACACGTTTATTGTGCTGCCAAAAAGAACAAACAGAAGACCACATTGTTGGGGAGCAGAGAATAGCACTTTGCCAAATATGTGCTCCAATCATTTCTGTGAATTCAGTGATGCTTTCTTCTTTCTAAGAAAAACTTAGGTTACTTCCCATGGCCCTTAGATCTCACAGTCCTTCTAAAGCTGTGGGAGGAGTCTCCTTTCTCCATACTCAAGTCAGGGCTGCAGTGAATTCGTTTGAAAGCTATTTTAACTTTAAAAGGTTAGCATACCCAACCACGTACCGCTGAGCATTTTGAAGAGAATATAGGGTGCAACTACAAAGTCAACGCTAAATACAGAACACACATTAATAGCTGACTTTGCCGAAAAGGGGCTTTGTCATTGAGGCAGTATCATTCTACCTAAGGACCAGAGCTGAGCTCCTAGGCAGGGGGTTCCAAACTTTCAACTGATGACGTGGGAGATGATGTGGGAATCAGAGTGGAATACAATAGTGTCGCTCAAACCTAATGATATAAAGGAAATGGATTCTTGAAAACGCCTAGTACTGACCTAATTTGTATGTATTATACCATCTGTTAAATACATAAACATGATATAGGTATAAACTCTGTGTTTTTATAGCAGATGTATACTTCTAAAGTCAAAATAAAATTACAAATTAAATAGGAATATTTGCAAAAAGAATAACCACAAGAAGAATACAACTCACATTAATTTAACCTAATAACATGGCATTGCCCCCAGTGAAACCGCTGCTGGAAACATGACTATAAGGTGACTCCAATGACACAGGTGTTGTGAGTTTGGTGACTCAATCCTACAAATAAATGCCTTGTGACACTCAATGCTATTTTTCTCTATTTGCTCTACTAAAAAGTTTTCATTTATAAGAAATGGTCTGATCTCATTTAGCTTTCACTTAAACATCGAAGCTTACATCTCTGGTTTTGTCTCATTCACTTAAGATGATTAGAATGAAGCTAACACAAAATCAGAAACACAAATGCAAATGTGGCCAATGAAATTATGCAGTAGCACATCTTGGTAACTGGCCACCCCAGTGATCCAGAAAATGCCCATATGATTTACATTGTCAACAAAATACAAACTGAAATTCTGGTAGAGAATTGGCTGGATTGTGATAGGAAAAGGCAGAGTTCTAAGTTCTTAGTTATGTAAAGACTTAATTAGGAGGCTTATAATTTGAAAACAACACATGCGTTTGTCTCTCTGTATTTAATGTATTTGAGAAGTTTTGCAATCTGCAGTTTGATGATTCTTTTACAACTTGTGTTAGTGAACTCAGAAATTAAACTAGTTATGAAATCTCCAGATACATGAAGTATATGTTTGTTGAGCAATAGGCTAGAGTAAAATGACTCAATCTAATCTAGACTTGGTGCCTAAGCTGGAGTTCCAACGAGTTTAGGATCTCTTCTTTCTGTAAATTCAGATTTTTTGTAGTCAGGAAAAACAGAAGACATATTTTATTGGTTCTAGTAGAAAACTCTTAAATAGCATGCTCATAGCCATGTTCAAATCCTTTGCTGTCAGAATAAACCAATGTTCTATTAGTTTTGCTGTATTTCATCATTGTGTTTTATGATCTTGTATCTCTACCTGGTGCTATGGAATAAATAAAATGCCTTAAAATAAATAACCTATGACTACAGTTTACAGTGTTAATATATCATGTTGATAGCTAATTCCCCAATTCTCCCAGGGGCTTCTACAACTAGAACTTCTTAGACTCGCATGTATGCCACAGACTTTTTTTTTTGAGATGGAGTCTAGCTCTGTCACCCAGGCTGGAGTGCAGTGGCACAATCTCAGCTCACTGCAAGCTCCGTCTCCCGGGTTCGTGCCATTCTCCTGCCTCAGCTTCCGGAGTAGCTGGGACTACAGGCGCCCGCCACCACGCCCAGCTGATTTTTTGTATTTTTAGTAGAGACAGGGTTTCACCATGTTAGCCAGGATGGTTAAGACATTGGTTAACATTTTGGGGAAAAGGTCTTTGGGTCATCCCTGCCTATAAAGCCCGAATGTCTCTCACCAGCAACTGGATGTGTTTTGACTTGACATTAACTAACAGCCTCATGATGTTTGATAACCCTTCTTCTCTCATAACTTCTCCTTTGAGAAAATAAGATAAAGTACTCTCAAAACAAACTCTTGTAAATTCTCATTAGTTCTAAACACAACAGAAACATTAAGGAAAAGAAGAAAAGTAATTCTCCCCTAGGTATCCTTAGCTGACATAGAAAAAATACTGAATATAGATTTAGAAGAGTGTTCTTATCAAAATTCTTAGTTGTGATCCATAAAGACACTCTCGCTTTCTCCTTCTCCATGTACGTATGTGTGTGTATGTATGCATGTGTATGTGTATATAGGAGGGTGTGCATATATATATGTGCATGTGTGTGCATATGGATGTCTGTGTGTGCACACGTGTGTTTTTGTGTGTATGAGTGTCTAGATGCCAAAGGTTTATGTTATGATGTTCAATAGGAAAGGCAGAACTAAATCTATATTACATGAACACAACTTATGTAAGCATATGGGCTAGGGCTGGAAGAAAAAAAGACACACACACACAATACGAAGACATGATAATAATAGGCAACTGCCTTACCTGGCCCCATTCCTTCATCTGCATATTATTTTCTAATGTTCTTTTAATGTCACAGTGATGGATTGCTTAGTTACTGCTACGCTTTTATGTATAGCTCTATTAGTCCTTAATATTGCTTTATGACATGCAATTATACTGTCTTCTCCCTAACTAGACTGCAAGCTAAAGATCAAGAGAAAGTTTATATTCTCTTGTGTACTTCCCAAAATGGCACAGGGCAAGTGTAATAAATGCTCCTTGGATTAAAGTGTTCACATGAATAGGTGGACGGGTGGATGGATATGAATGGATGGATGGATGGATGGATGGATAAGTGGATGGATGGATGGATGGATGGATGGATGGATGGATAAGTGGATGGATGGATGGATGGATGGATGGATGGATGGATGGATGGATGGATGGATGGATGAGGACTATCCTAGCTCTCTAGGAGGCCTCATAGTAGAGGTGGCCTTGTTTCCTTTCATGGTTGAGCAAGGTGTTTGGGATCCAGAGCCATTATCTCAAGAAAAGGAGTTATGGGGAATGAGAAGATAAATTTGGCCTACTGTCTCCATGCTAAAGTAGCAGGAGAAAGTCTTCCTCTTCTCTCCACATAAAAACCTTCTGCCTTCTCTCCCTTTAAGTATCAGTCTAAAGCCTTCAGTCCCCAATGCTGAAGGCCTCTGGGGAGGAGCGAAGCCTACCACAATGAAAACAAAATTTTCATATAGAAAACGGAGGCTGTGATGGATGTAGAATTCAGTCTTCCCTCTCTGGGCAGAAGCAAAATACTGCTAATGGAAATGCTTAGGAGCTCAATGAAGACTGGATTATTTGGGAAGTGAGAGTGCTTTTGTGTCCCTCTTCCTAAAGAAAGGCAAGAATTCCACCAAATCTTTTATATAATTTGGTGTCAAAAGCTTCAATAAACCAAAAAGTAGTTTATTTCCCATACAGGTCTCAAAAGTATCTCAGCAAAGGCAGCTCAGAGACCCAGCAAGAAAGAAACTATTTCTGGTCTCATTGATTTTTGCTCCTTCAATCATGGGAAGTTCAACAGGAAAAGTCTCAAACACAATATTTCATTCAAATTGCTCTGCCAGATTCAGGAGCAACCACATGAAAGATATCTGGATGTGAGGAGTTGCAAGAGATGAAGAAAGAAGTACTATAAATGCATTAGTGGTTCAGCAAATCTATTAAAAGATCCACTCAATAAAACAACATGGAATCCTATTCATTATGTAGAAGGGAAAACTATCGTAGCAGGAATGGATGGGTTCGTCTTTGTCTACTGGAACTTTTTTTAAATTAAAGTCTTCATAAATGACTGAGAAATTCTTCTTAAAATTCAAGCCTTGACTGCAGGAGTTTTTGCTCGGTGAGTAGGAAAGAAATTAGGCAATACATTAGGAAGAGGGCATTATGCATTTGGAGCTGCCCCTCTCACAGTAACTCAGGGTTCAGAACCAGGCTTTTCAGTAACTGCAGAGGGCCTGGCTGCTTGAAATAGTCTCGGCCCTGTTGGATTTCAGGGGCTGCTCATGCCTTAGAGCTTTTTTTTCCTGAACACATTCTCAAGATGCTGTCAGATATGGGTTCCTATCTCCTTGCAAGCTGATTAACTGATAAGGAAAATCAGCACCAAAGGTTAGAGAGCAGGCACCTTGCACAGGAAAGACAGGCTTCATCCTCTCCACTTTCCCCTCCTGCAGAATGAAACTGGGTTCACTGCAAATTCTCAAGTTAATGGGCTGTAAATATCTGGCAGCTAGGGCAGTTGTACAGGGCTGAGAGCCACAGGCCAGCCCTGGCACCCCATGAAATGAGTTCACCATCTTCAGCTCCTCCAAGCCTACATTTGCTGGAGGCACAGGCAGGGAGCAAACACCGGGATTGGAAGAGGCCAGCTAGAAGGCTCCCCCTAGTGGGAGACTGGACCAATGCCCCGGAAACACACCTCTTAAATGGGATATTGACTGCGTCTCAAAGAAGGGTTCCCAAAGACTTTCACATGACTCCACAAATTCACAAGCATCTTGAAAGAAAACACTCACCTCACAATATCTCTGGGACTTTGGCTTTTTCCTGAGTAAATTCGGGGAGTGGAAGAGTAAAGCCTCCTTTACCTTTCAACCAGAAAGTTGTTTGCTCTCCTTTGCCCTGTGGAAAATTTACAAATTTAAAACAAAACAATGTTAATCACCTAAACCTTTTTGAAACTTACATCACTGAGTAATTCTTTTTTACATGTCCCAACTGATAAACAGCATACAAGTGCCTGGCAATGGTCAATGCAATAAAATTACTATAAAGCAAAAGGGTGTAATATTCCCTGGAGGTCCTGGCTATAGATTTCTTCTGTACCACCAAGAATACACTCTACCTTGGAGAAGGGCAGATTATCACCTATGGGCCAAATTCAGCCCACTACTTGTGTTTGCAAATAAAGTTTTATTGGAACATGGCCATGCCTGTTGATTGACATATTGTCTATTGCTGCTTTTGAGCTACAACAGCAGTTAAGTAGTTACAACAAAGACTCTACGGCCCCTGAAGCCTGAAATATTTACTGTCTGGCCCTGTATAGAAAAGGTTTTCCAGGCCAGATGCAGTGGCTGATGCCAGCTAATCCCAGCACTTTGGGAGGCTGAAGTGGGTGGATCGCTTGAGGTCAGGAGTTCAAGACCAGCCTGACCAACATGGTGAAACTCAGTCTCTACTAAAAATCCAAAACAAAAACCAAAACAAAACAAAAAAAAAGCCGGGTGTGGTGGCACATGCCTGTAATCCCAGCGACTTGGGAGGCTGAGGCAGGAGAATCCCTTGAACCCAGGAGGCAGAGGTCACAATGAACTAAGATCACACGACTGTACTCCAGCCTGGGTGACACAGTAAGACTCCATCTCAAAAAAAAGAAAGAAAGAAAGAAAAAGTTTTCCAACTCCTGCTCTTCATTTAAGTGATTTTATTATATGCACGTGTGATTGCTTAGAATGGAAAGTCACAGAAGAAAGGAGGGTATATGTATTTGCATGGTTCTAATGAGAGCACAGTGCAAAACCCTGTCTATAAAGTGTGTGATCAGTGTTGCCTGAAGTGGATAATGATCTTATCCTCCAGAAGGAAAACAGTAGGCAAAAAGCAAATGCCTCTTCTAAAAGTATCCCCTGGTTAAAGCTAGGGGCCTGGAGGGATAACAATATTGTGTTTACGAAGTGTCATCAGTGATACCCACGCAAACTGCTGCTCTCCATTCTGGATGCCATGTTCACAGTGTCTCCAAATAGACAGTATCTGGGCATGGTAATTCCCACCACACCAGCCACCACAGGACCTGAAGAGTGGAGAACCAAAGACCGTAACTGCTCTGCATTGCCCGAGGCTGGACTCTACGATGCGCATCAAATTAACAAATGTAGTGATGCGCCCTCTTGGGGCAAAGTTTGGCAATAGGTTTTAGGGTTTACAGAAAGGAAACCGACAGAACCCACAAACTCCTGCTGGAAAGCGACATCATCACGGTCATTAAATGACCATGTCACTCATGAACTAGAGCTGTGAACAATGCCAACAGTGGCACAAACATGGGAGCAATTCATTCTGAGGATGGGGTTTTGTTTTTGTTGAGCCCTGGAAGATAGGTAGTAGCATAACTGGCTACAAAATTTGCTGGAACAGGTGCAGAGTGAAAACACAGGATACTTTGTGCAAAGATGATTAAAAATTGCCAGACGGTAACAGAAGAGCATGAAACGAAGCATGGACCACTTCTGCACAGATCACATGCCCATGAGTTGGCAAACACAGACCACATCAAAGGGCATTTGATGTTGAGGCGTGGAGGAAAAGTAGCCCTATATAACCCATCCTGGGGTTTGGTCTCTTCCTTTTTATTCTCTCTCTTTTTTCTTTTCTTTTCTTTTTTTTGACAGAGTTTCGCTTTGTTGCCCAGGCTGGAGTACAGTGGCACAATGTCAGCTCACTGCAACCTCCGCCTCCCAGGTTCAAGCAATTCTTGTGCCTCAGCCTCCTAAGTAGCTGAGATTACAGGTGCCTGCCACCACACCTGGCTGGTTTTCTGTATTTTAGTACAGACAGGGTTTCACCATGTTGCTAAGGTTGGTCTCAAACTCCTGAGCTCAGGCAATCCATCCATCTCGGCCTTCCAATTTGCTAGGACTACAGTCCTTATTTTTGGTTGAATATATTGAAGCCACTGTGTGACCTTGTTGTTACCAAGCAACCTAGCTAAATAGAAACACACATGCAGAGACAATTCAATCTTTTATTTCCCCTAAAGAGGTTACCGTTCAATGTCCAGGTTCCTAAAAGCCTTGGACATAGGAATGGAACCCAGAATGACCTGCCGTCATGCCTGCACCATCAGGCCATCCGTTTTGTCTACCTGTGTGGAAGCCAATCCGAAGCTGGAGCTTCTCCTAGAGCAAGCGCCCAGTCTGGAAGCAAATGAATGGTGGCACTGAGAAGTGCAGGGACATGGTGGCAATCTCAGCCACATGCTGGCTTCCATTGCAGATAGGGAGTCTACTAGCCACCATGTATGCGTCTCCAGTGGTCTCAACCTGAAAACAAAGCGACAGAGTGACCTTTGTTTCCCATGAGGGAGGCCAAGGGTAGGGGTGGGTCAGAGATTAAGGCCCCTCATTTGTTCTCAGCCTCGAGGCCCTGTTTTTGGATGTGTCACACTCCCTGACCTCCGCCCCATGCAAGTTCCAGCATTTCTTCAGTTCCTGCCCTTGTAATGGCTCTTCCACAAAGCCCACCTCACCCTCCTTCCCCCAGCCTCCCTCCCCACAGTCACTGTTTCCTCCTCTGAAATCCAATAGCAGCAGTGACTATATTTCCCCAGCCCAAATTCAGAACCAGTGAGACAGGGAGCAGTGTGCTCCTGGAGTCAACCTGGAAGGGTGAGGTGGATCGGTCAAGCAGAGACCATCCCCCCCCAACCTGAAATGTCCACGCCCCACACAAGGGCTCTTAGACACATTTATACATGGGTACGCATTATACATTATACAAAATGTATTCATATATGTGTAGCATGTATCTGCCTGTCTGTCCTCTTCCCCCTCTATCCTCCTAATAAAATCAGCTTTCAGATCTGTCATTCACAATAGAGAAATAAATGACAAGTAGTTACAGCCCTTTCCAGACACATTTGCATTTTAGCAGAATCCAAAGATGATGTGGTGAAGGTTGAATTGCGGGCATCAGCCTGATGGTAAGAACACCTCTGTTCTGGTGACCCCGAAATGATGCGAAGTCAACCAGTCAACAAGCCTCACCTGCTTCTGGGTTTCCTCTCCCCACCGTGATAACATCCTTCAGAAATACAAACTAAGTTTTAAAATGAGCTCAAGCAAAACACAACTGAGCAGGTAAACACTAAGAGGAAAATCCCAGAAGACGTCCTCCTAAGCAGGGAGGGTTCTGATTTTGTTGGGTGTGTGTGGTCTGCTCTTCAAGGTTATCTATACTATCCTTTCTTTCACCCTTGAACAGAGGCATCATTTGTGGGGAACACTGGGAGATCAACATTGAAGACGTGTCACTCTGTCACTGAGATATGTGACCATATGACCACACTGTCCCCCAAATCTCGCTGTCCCCAGGTCCACAGGCAGAGGCAGGGCCCTGGGATTGTGGTCGGAGCTGGTGCACTTGTAGCTGCCCACCAGGCATATATGAGCACAGGCACATGGTACTGTGCCCGGAGTCATGATCTGACCCCTTCTAAAGAGTCAGAACACACAGAAGGCAGCCCTCATCACCACCACCACCCAGCAGTCATGAAGAGCCAAAACGTTTCTGTTTTCCCCATCAAAAATGGCTTTCACTCTAGGTGACCATGTCCTTCTGTCTCCCAGAGTAGCACCCAGCAGGCAATTGTTGTTGCCCCCCTTTTAGCCATGCGTCTGCTAGTCTAAAATTGGGAGTCTTTCTTCACTCTGAATTGCTAAGGATCAGGACAACAGAGGTGAGACCCACACAAGATCCAAGGACAATCTTTGAAGGGGAGTAAACAGGAGCCTCTCTGCCTCGGAAGGAAACGTATTTAGGAAAGACGGGAAGGAATTAGTCAGTGGAAGGTCAATGCCTCTTTTTAAAAAGTGTTTACTGTGAGATGAAATAATGGAAGGAAACAGAGGAAAAACAGAGGAAACTGGTGATTTTTGACAAGCACATACATCTGTGACTAATCAAGACCTCTTCCAACAAAACAAACAAATAAAATATTGAGTATTGAGTTTCTGCCATGAAGTGACATAGACTGAAATGGAGTTTCCTCCTGGCTGATGTCTGGAATCAATTCCATCCTCCGTCAGGCCCCGGAGACAGCCCGCAAGAAGCACGAATGACCTCACAGCCAGGATGGGACGTCTCACCTTATACTCACGGTAATTTGTGATGATGTGATCGAATAAACTGTACAGGTCATTGAGGAGCTTGACGACTTGCGAGGGGGAGCTGAGAGAACAAAGCTTTGTGAATCCAACAATGTCAGAGAAAAAGATTGTCACAGACTCGAAATGTTCTGGTTCCACGGACCTTCCAGCTAGGAGTTGTTCTCCAGTGAAGCTGAAACCAGAGAAAGGGATCATTTTTGAATGGATCTTATTCATCTCCTCTCCTACAGACTCCCACAAAGTTGTCCTCATTGGTCCTTTTGCTTCAATGGCTAAGCTTTTGGTTAACAAAATTCATTATTTAGAGGAATTCTTTCAACATCCACTTCTCCACTTGCATTCTCTCCAAAGAGATATTTTAATTGACGGGTATAAATGGTGGGGGCGGGGTAGGAGAGAGGGTCACATAATGCCCTTACAAAAAGGATTTTTCTTGATGTATATTGGTTATAGAGTTAGAGTGTAAAGACTCTGCAGTTGTGGAAGCGAATATAACCATTCACCAATCCACAAATCAATTTCATTTCAGTCAACCGATATCACTAAAAATCCCTGCCCCCACTTCTTTGGTCTAGACATGCAAGAAGTGCACAGGAATTTTAACAGCAAATACTTCTGCCAAGTGTTAAGAGAGTGAACATGTAGAAACAGAACCAAAAATGGAGCAATATTTGAATGTGAAGCCACAGGTACATATTAAACTGTGCAAAGGTTTTGGACCTACAATCAAATACAGGGGAGTTAGCAATTAGTCAGACTCGTGAAACGAGGGCGCCATCTAGTGGCTACTCTCCTGTTGCTGCATCCGCCACCCTTCACATAAAAGACGAACTGCAGCCTCTATTTCTATGGATTCAGGAGAGTTTGCTTCTGTCTCCCTTTACAGGTGTACCAAACTGCACAAAAAATGCCTGACCCTTTTTAGAAGAGCCTGACATCCTCTTAGAAAAGTAATCATGGAAATTATCCCGCCTATGTGGGGCTGCTAGATGGTAATGCTGCAGCTTCGTCAAGTCCCCACTGCTTCCGAATACCTGGGCACCATAGTGGACAGAAGCTTCTCCACCTTCCTCTTCTCTGCAGTCAGCCGGCTGGTCCTCTCTTGCACCCATTCCTCCAGGTGATTGGCATACACTTCCAGCTTGCTCATCATACTGGCCAGTATGCTTACATGGCTTTAAAAGAAATCAGACATTGATGTTTTCTCCCAAGACCCTTAGGGCCTCAGTGGAACAGAGCTTCCAACTACACATTCCAGGAAAATATTTCTCACCTTTCAGGTGTCCTAGTTAAGGGTTGGCAGTGGACATTGGGGAGGTGACAATGGCAATGCAGCTGCGTGACAGGACAGAGCCTTTCACCAGCCCTCTGAGCTTAAGCTGCCTCCTTCATTTCTCTGAGTCTCACTTCACTCATTTGGAAAATGAAGACAATCACACGTACCTCATGTATGTACGATTACGCTGTTGTTCTGAGGATGTAGGGAGATAACATGCATAAAGTGTCTAGGGCCACATCCATCCACAGGTACTCAACAAACAGCGGCCTTCAATGGCCCATTCCCTGCCTCCCAACAGACATTGAGAATGAAGATTGTGGGATGGGTCATTTCTTTCTTTTCAGACGGTCTAATGTAAGGGGCAGTTCTAGATTCTATTAGTCCTTTGTTTTCGAAGGGTCTTCAGAGAACTCATTTAAATTCCTCATCTTCAGATGAGGAGACCTAGACTCACATAGGTAAATAGACTTGTAACATTGAGGTCCATATTTTCTAAGTAAAAAATCAGGATGTATCTTAAGCTTACTTAAGATGTACCTTTAGGTTAACTACCTTGATTTAATCATTCCACACAGTATATATGTCCCAAAACATCAGGTATACCATAAATATAAACAATGTTTCATTTGTTAATTTTATTTTTATTTAATTTTTTTGAGATGGAGTCTTGCTGTGTCACCCAGGCTGGAGTACAGTGCTGCGATCTCAGCTCACAACAACCTCCCCCTCCCAGGTTCAAACGATTCTCCTGTCTCAGCCTCCCGAGTAGCTGGGATTACAGGTGTGTGCCATCACGTCGGCTAATTTTTGTATTTTAAGTAGAGATGGGGTTTCACCATGTTGGTTAGCCTGGTCTCAATCTCCTGACCTCAGGTGATCCACCTGCCTCAGCCTCCCAAAGTGCTGGGATTACAGGCTTGAGCCACCACATCCAGCCTCATTTGTTAATTTTAAAAACAATATAAAAATAATTTTTAAAATTTAAAAACTATTATGAGCTTGGAAATGCAGAACACGGGGCTATTGCGTTAAGAATGCATAGCTGGCCGGGCGCGGTGGCTCACGCCTGTAATCCCAGCACTTTGGGAGGCTGAGGTGGGTGGATCGCGAGGTCAGGAGATTGAGACCATCCTGGCTAACACAGTGAAACCCTGTCTCTACTAAAAAAAATACAAAAAAATTAGCCAGGCATGGTGGCGGGCACCTGTAGTCCCAGCTACTCAGAAGGCTGAAGCAGGAGAATGGTGTGAACCCAGGAGGCGGAGCTTGCAGTGAGCTGAGCTTGCACCACTGCACTCCAGCCTGGGCGACAGAGCGAGACTCCATCTCAAAAAAAAAAGAAAGAAAGAAAAAGAAAGAGAGACATAGCTGAAGCCAGGTGTGGTGACTCACGCCTGCAATCCCAGCACTTTGGGAGCCCAAGGCGGGCAGATCACCTGAGGTCAGGAGTCTGAGATCAGCTGGGCCAACATAGCAAAACCCTGTCTCTATTAAAAATATGAAAATTAGCCAGGCGTAGTGGCACACACCTACAGTCCTAGCTACTCAGGAGGCTGAGGCATGAGAATCACTTGAAGCCAGGAGGCAGAGATTGCGGTGAGCCAAGATCACACCACTGCACTCCAGCCTGTGTAACAGAGCAAGACCCTGACCCAAAAAATGTTTTGTTTGTTTAAAAAAAATGCATAGCTGAAGGTCCAAATTAAGAGTAGACACCTGACTCCCAGCCTGGGGCTCTTTCCACCAACTGAAGCTACCTCTAACATGGGCATGTCTTCCTAAATTCATGTACTGAAAGATGATACAATTATGTGGTGTAAAGGAAGCTACTATTGAGAAAGTTGTTGGAGACGCATGAATGATTTAAGTCATAACCTACCCTACAGATGGTGAGTAATTTTTATCTCATAGTCCAGTCCGAACTGATTAGCCTAACCCTTGGAATGCTGATTTGAAACAGATTCTGAAGCCATGTCAAAACTCCCTAGAAACAAGGACCTTAACTGATTAGTGACATCTGAGATAGACAAAGAAGGCAGTAAAATTATTAATATCTGATCCATTTTTGTGGCATTTATGAAATAAAGGGCAAATTTCTCACTCCACTGCAACCAGCATGTAGTACAGTGCTTTGTGTATGGTAAGCCCTGAGTGAGTGTATGAGGAAGGAAGGAAGGAAGGAAGGAAGGAAGGAAGGAAGGAAGGAAGGAAGGAAGGGAGGGAGCGAGGGAGGGAGGGAGGGAGAGAGGGAGGGAGGGAGGGAATGAGTTGCATAGAACCAATCACAGCCACATAGTTTCAAATTTTTTTTTTGTTTTTTAGAAACGGTCTCGTTCTGTCACCCAGGCTGCAGTACAGTGGCACAATCATAGCTCACTGGAGCCTTGACCTCCAGGGCTCAAGCGATTCTCAGCCCCCTAAGAAACTAAAACTATAGGCTCACACCACCACACCTGGCTAATTTTTTATTTTATTTTTTATAGATATAGAATCTCACCATGTTGACCAGGCTGGTCTTGAACTCCTGGCCTCAAGGGATCCTCCTGCCTTAGCCTCCTAAAGCACTGGGATTACATGCATGAGCCACCATGCCTGGCAGCTCTAAAATCCTAATGGTTAACTGAGTGAGAGTAAATATCTGTTGTACATCTAACTTACCCTCTGGGAATGGCCTCTCATAAAGTTTTCTTGATGGAAGAGGAACTAGGTCTTTTCTCCAGAGATTCCTCCCAACATACCCTCACCATGGCCATGATGTTTTCATTGCCCTTCTCCTCAGGCAGGGAAGGTCGCAGTGGGACTGCTGCTGCAGGGTCTTTGATTTGGTTGATGATTTCTGAAATTCATGTTGGGTTTAGACAGCCAAACATCAGAGCTTTGTGCCACTTACTACACTTCATTTTCAATAGTAATTGTGCTCTTATATTTGTAAACTGAGTTTTTAAATAAATAGAACACATTGGAATTCCAAAGTAATCTGGATATTTTAATAGGATACTCTGAATCTGCCTGGAAAATGAACAATTCTAATGAAAAACATATAAACACCCTCCTAATTAATTTGTTTTCAAATCACGATTTTTAAAAATAGAACTTTGCTTGATGTGAAGCATATCTCCATATAATTTCAGGAATGTATAGGCATTTCGTGTTGGAAACCCCCAAACTGTGCTTCATGCAATTTTGTTAAATTTTCTGCAATATGTTGCATAAATGTTATTTTAACACATAATAAACATTGCCATCATGTCCTGCCTCTCTGTCCAATTTTGTAAACCTAATTTTTCCCACTTCTTCACTGGCCCCTACTGACATTTACTAAACATTCTGCTTAACCAGATGTTGTCAAGGGAATAATACTTTGAGAAAAATGTATACATGTTTTGGTATAAAAATAATAAAAATACTGTGCATGCAACAACATGGATAAGTCTTATATGCATTATTACTAAGTTAGAGAAACCAGTCAGAAAAGGCTGTGTACTGTATGATTCTATTTACATGGCACCCCAGAAGCAACAACACCCCAGCAGCAATGGGCATATCTGGTGTCATTTCTTTTCTTTTCTTTTTTTTTTTTGAGATAGACTCTGGCCCTAGTGCCCAGGCTGGAGTGCAGTGGCGTGATCTTGGCTCACTGCAACCTCCGCCTCCCAGGTTCAAGCAATTCTCCTGCCTCAGCTTCCCCAGTAGCTGGGACTAAGGCGTGTGCCACCATGCCCAGCTAATTTTTATACTTTTAATAGAGATGGGGTTTCACCATGTTGGCCAGGATGGTCTTGATCTCTTGACCTTGTGATTCTCTTACTTTCTAATACCTTTAACCAACAAAAGAAGTCATGGCTTCTTGGCGAATTGACTGCTTCTAGCACTGGGGCAGGAGATACGCAAAATGAGACTTTCTTGTTTTCCCAGAAAGTAAGGAAATATACATTCTAGAAAAGACAAAATGTTAGAGACAGAAAACAAACCAGTGGTTGCCAAGAGTATGGGGAGCAGAGAGCATTGACTATATGAAATGCCGGGGATACTTTTAGGATGAGGAAAGTTTTCTGTAGGATACTACAGTGGTGGCTAGATTACACTATATATTTGCCAAAACCCATAGAGTTTTATAGCACAAAAGTAAGCCATAAGGAAAGCAAACTTTAAAATATACCAATTGGGAAATTATGCAACCCCAAGATAGAATGCAGACAGCAATAAAAGAATCTAACAGCGTTACAAATATACGGCATAATCTTACTGATGGGATGAGTGAGAAAGAATGCTGACCTACATACATCGCTTCTGAAATGACTAGAGACTTTAAGACTAAAGACAAAAGGAACTATTCATAATCATCGCACTCTAGTTGGTAAAACTGTTTCTCATGGGGATGCAGATTAACAAGTCTGAAATCACTGAACACACATATGGGGACTGAACAAAGTACATGGGTGGTGGATGGTGGGAGCCAGGATCTCAATGTTGGAATTTACAGAAAAGTAATGGGAAGACTGCAATGAACCATGATGGTGATGAGTTACATTTCGAGACATCAATGGGAACTCATGTTTAGTTTAATGTAGATGCAGATATATGTGTATGTGTGCATGTGTAATTATAGAGATATGTATACACACGGGTTATTACACATACATATTTCCTTACTCTGTCCACCGAGAGGGCCCGTAAGTAACAACCCCCTAGTAGCAGTGAGCACATCTAGTGTCAGCTCTAACTTTCTAATACCTTTCTCCAACAAAAGAAGCCAGGGCTTGTTGGAGAGATTTGGTTGCTTGTTTCTGCCCCTAGCACTGGGGCAGGGGATATGCAAAATGAGACTTTCTTGTCTTACCAGAAAGTAAGGAAATATGCAGAAACAAGACAAAACACCACAGTGATGGCTACACATACAAGAGACACAGAAGCTACCTGAAACTGAATGGCGAAAATTGGAACAATTTAAGCTACAAAATAAATAAAGTGATATTCAGTTATAACCCAAAGTATAAAATAAATATCCATGAGTTCATGCTGACATAAGTACTTGAAGAAATAAATGAATGGGCAGAGTAGACAAATCTCCCACGGAGAAGAATTCCAAATACTCCTTCCTCAAAGAGGTGGAGCCTGACTCCCCACCCTTTTTTTTCTTTTTTTTCTCTCTTTTTTTGAGACAGGGTCTCTGTCACCCAGACTGGAGTGCAGTGGCAGGATCTTTACTCCGCCTCCCGGGCTCAAGCAATCTTCGCACCTCAGCTTCCAGAGTAGCTGCTAGGACGCTGCCACACTTGGGTAATTTTTGTATTTTTGTAAAGACTGGGTCTCCCTATATGCCCAGGTTGCTCTCAAACTCCTGGACTCAAGCGATCCTCCCTCTTTGGCCTCCCACAATGTTGGGATTACAGGCGTGAGCCACCACACCCAGCCTAACTCCTCACTCAGTCCTAGACTAAGTATGGAAGGGAGAAATCAGAGTAACTTTATGGTGGAGAAATTGACAAACACTTCCCCAGCCAAGTGATCAAGGTCAACATCAACAGCAATAATCAATGAAAAGGACAATTTACCTGTGCAGTCATCCTTCAAAACACACAAACGCCAAACCACGAGAAAAGAAAAACAAATCAGACAAATTCCACATGAAAGAACTTCTACAAAATATCCGACCAGTACTCCTCAGAAGTGTCAAGGTCATTGAAAATAAAGTCTGAGAAATTTTCCCAGAGAAGCTTAAGGAGACATGATGACCAATTGTAACGTGGTACCTTGGATGGGGTTCAGAGACAGAAAAAGGACATTAGGCAAGAACTAGGAAATCTGAATAATATATGGCTGTTAGTTTAATATAATAAAAAAATACAGGTTACAAAACTGTGCATAAAATGTCATCTTGTTTAAGTGTACATGTTTAACGCCTAAAACTATTCTGAAAGTATGTGCATTAAAAAGCACTCTAGGAGCCAGGCACGGTGGCTCACACCTGTAATCCCAACACTTTGGGAACCCAAGGCGGGGGGGATCACTTGAGGTCAACAGTTTGTGAGACCAGCCTACCAACATGGCAAAACCCCATCTCTACTAAAAATATAAAAATTAGCCAAGCATGGTGGTGGATGCCTGTAGTCCTAGCTACTTAGGAGGCCGAGGCAGGAGAATCACTTGAACCGGGAGGTGGAGGTTGCAGTGAGCTGAGATCACGCCATCACACTCCAGCCTGGGTGACAGAGAGAGATTCCATCTCAAAAAAAAAGTACTCTGGAAAATTGTGTTTTACTTCCCAAATGAAGTACATTTTGAGACATGAGACAGCAATGGCTTCAAAAGCAGTGACTGAATTACTATGGCATCTTCTGCTTTCTGTGTTTAGCTCTAAGAAATGAAAGAATCAGAAAAATGATACAGGACTTCGAGAGCAAATTCGAACCCATGGGTCTGCACTTCAGAGAACTTGTGTGAATTACCTAGTAACTTCTAGCCAGCTGTTTCCATCCTATAATCTTTAACCGTCTACTAGACAAGTTAGCACCGTTGCTCATTTGCTTTGGCAATGTGCATCAGAATCGCTGGGGAGCTTGCTGAAACACAGATTTCTGGACCAATTCCTCCACAGTTTTTCCAATGAAGCAGGTCAGGAGTGGGGCCTGAAAATGTGCATTTCTGACACGTTTCCAGCTGATGCTGATGCTGCTGGTCCAAGGACCACAAGGACCAAGGCCAGTGCTTCTCTGTGGCTTTATCAGCATCACCTGGGAGGGTGATGGAAATGCACATTCTCAAGCCTCACCCCAGACCTCCTGAGTCAGAAACCCCAAGAGTGGAACCCAACAATGTTGTGTTTTAACCACCTCCGGGTGATTCTGATGCCCGCCACAGTTTGAGAACCACGGGTCTTGTGTGCCCAGAGAATCAATAGCTACTCCGTTCCCAGGACAAGCTTTGTTTGTAGGAAAGTGTCGGAAGTTAATTGAAGAAGTGTTTGCCCATAAATTAGTGGTTGTAGTCCTGTGAATACACAGTCCCATGTAGCCAGCTCTCAGTTAATTTTGTGAGCTCAACAATGAAGGGGAAATACACTGATTGTCCACAGTATCTTCCCTTACAGAACCGAACTGGCAAAACTAGGCGGTGATGGGGTTGAGGGACTGTGGATGGGCTCCTGCCTGGGCTCAGTCTGGGAATATTTGTGTGTGTGCTTGATGCCAAAGTTAGATGCACTTGGATTTTGAGTTACTGTTTTTCATTAATCTCACCTCTCCTTTATTTAACTGGAAACTAGAAACTGGAATCTGGTCTAAAAGCAATTGCATATCCTCACAATGGGCTCCTGACTCAAAAAGTCTCCAGGTAATAGATAATGACCTAAAGCCGAGGCTTGAGAAAGGCCACTGAGGATAGGCTAGAAATGGTAGGCAAAGCAAGAAAAAAAAAAAAAAAATTCAAGAGAGAAAGTGGGTTGAGTTTACTTAGAAACTCACACTCACATGTGTGCACACACACACTGGTATCTTCTCTCCAAGCAGCCTGAGCTGCTACATATTACAATCACGCCAGGAGCTTTGAAACCCTGACACTTAGGCAGCACCCCAAACCAATGATATCAGAATCTCAGGCTGAGATCCAGGCATCAGCCGTTAAGAGACAATCCAGCAAAAAGAAAAAAAAAAAAAAAGCCCAAAAATATCCTTTGTAAGTGGACAACTGAACAGCATTTATCATGGATTTTAAATATATTTAAAATATATTTATCTCCTCAATTTCATGGCTAGAAATCTAGCCTGAAGAAACATTCACCCATGTGTGCAAAGATATAGAGCTGCTCATTGCAGCAATTTCCAAAATGTGTATCAAGGTACCATTTATGGCATATTCTCACAATAAAAAATATTGCAAACCTTAAGAAAGAATAGGGCAAATTTGTATATAGGAATATGAGGTGAGAGGTGTCCAGGCAGAGGGAACAGTACACACAAAGGGTCTGGGGTAGAAATGTGTCTGGAGTGGTAGAAACATTTCCATCACTCCAAAGTAAACCCCTTGCTCATGAAGCAGTTTCTCCCTGTTCTCCCGACCCCCAACCACTGGTAACCACCACCAACCTGCATTCTGTCTTTATAAATCTGTCTATGTTGGTGACGCATGAAGGTGGCCAGCGTGACTGAAAGGAGTGAGCCATAAGAGGTGACAGTAGGAAGGTGCGGTGGGCTGAATCGTGGTTCCTAAAGGGAAATGTCCAAATCCGAATGCCCAGAATCTACAAATGTTTCCTTATTTGGGAAAGGGGATATAAACCAACTATGCAAATAGAATTAAGTTAAGGATCTCAGGTTGAAGAGGTCATCTTGGATGCCAGGGGTGGGACCCAAATCCAATGACAAATATCCTCATAAGCGGCACAGCCAGGATAAGTACACAGAGGAGGAGACAATGTGAAGACAGAGCTGGAGGTTGAGGCCATGCAGCCACAAACCCAGGAATGCTGGGGCAGCCACCAGTAGCTGAAAGAGGCAGAGAATGCAACCTTCCCTAGAGCTTCCAGAGGGAGTAGACCCTTGACAACGCTTTGACTTTAGACATCTGGCCTCTAGAACTGCCAGAGAATAAACATCGGTGTTTCAAGCCACCAAGCTTGTGGTCACTGTTATACTCCCCTAGGAAACTAATCCAGAAGGCCACAGAGGTTACACGGTTTCAAGGCCTTCGGTGGTCTTGTAGGCCATGAGGAGGACTTAGTTTTCACTCCTCAGATAGGAAGCCAGGGGAGGATTCTGATACAGAAGTGACATAATCTGCCTCATTTTCTAATAGGGTCCCTCTGGCTGCTGTAATACAATAAATTATATAATTAGGGGTCCCTTGATTTTTTTTTGGTAACCAAAATGGAATTCGTTTTCTAATTTAAAAAAGAATATGAATTTTTCTTTTTCTTTCTTTTTTTCTTTTTTTCCTGAGTCTGCTTGCTAGGGAAAGAACATGAATTTTTCAATAAAAAATAATGGAATAAATTGTAAATTAATAAAACAATTAATTTTAAAAACCAGCATTTCAAAGCTAGCCCAGACAACCAAAACTTCCCAAGTAGGCTCTCCCACTTTACCATCCGGTGCCTCATAGAGGTCATCAGAGGGCCCATGGTCCCAGTGTGGATCAGCTCCCTCATCAGAATGGTGAAGCTATAAACATCTCCTTGTGGGGTACTCGACCAGGGCACCTCTGGGAGCCACAGCTGCTCTGGGGCAGTCCAGTAGAGCTCTGCAGAGCAATGGGATGTCCACATCGATTGAGGGTGCTGCTGGGCAAAACTGGAAAAGCCACCCCTTCATCCTTGGGGGCACAGGAGAAAGGAAGGCATCCAGCCCTGAGCCATCAGCCCCAGTGGTGTCTGGTTTGAAGAGCAGATAGGGGTCCGTGTGTGTGAATATGGAGAAAATCAGCAGGAAGGATGTGCACTAACATGTTAATGGTGGTTTACTCAAGACTAAAATTACAGCTGGTTTTCATGTTCATGTTCCTTCTCTGTATTGCCTTTATTTTTAAAAACAATTGTGGTATGATTCATAGAACATAAAATTAACCATTTTAGGCTGGGTGCACTTCACGCCTGTAATCCCAGCACTGTGGGAGGCTGAGGCGGGAGGATAAATTGAGGTCAGGAGTTCCAGACCAGCCTGGCCAACATGGTGAAACCCCTCATCTATTAAAAATACAAAAATTGCTGGGCATGGTGGCTCATGTCTATAATCCCAGCACTTTGGGTAGCCAAGGCAGGTGGATCACCTGAGGTCAGGAGTTCAAGACGAGTCTGACCAACATGGAGAAACCCCATCTCTCCTAAAATTACAAAATTAGCTGGTCATGGTGGCACATGCCTGTAATCCCAGCACCTTGGGAGGTTGAGGCAGGAGAATCGCTTGAACCCAGGTGGCAGAGGTTGTGGTGAGCCAAGATCATGCCATTGCACTCCAGTCTGGGCAACAAGAGTAAAACTCTGTCTCTAATAAATAAATAATAAAAATAAATAAAAATACAAAAATTAGCCGGGCATGGTGGAGCACATCTGTACTCCCAGCTACTCGGAGGGCTGAGGCAGGAGAATCACTAGAACCCAGGAGGCAAAGGTTGCAGTGAGTCGAGATCGCACCACTGCCCTCCAGCCTGGGCAACAGATCAAGACTTCATCTCAAAAAAAATAAATAAAAAAAATAAAATAACCATTTTAAATGAACAATTCGGTGGCCTTTAGCACATTCATAATGTTATGCAACCACCACCACCTCTATCTAGCTCCAAAACATTTCCATCACTCCAAAGTAAACTCCTTATTCATGAAGCAGTTTCTCCCTGTTCTCCCGACCCTCAACCCCTGATAACCACCACCAACTTGCATTCTGTCTCTATAGATGTATCTATCTATTCTAGATATTTCACACACCTTCCTTTTTTGCAGTGAAGTCTAAAAGCTTATGTCATTATAGGTCATAGTCATTAAAAGAAAAGATAAATATTAGAGGATGTGGAAGGTGAACTAGGACAGCTGCTAGCAGGTCTCAGTTGGGCACGGTGGCTCATGCCTATAATCCCAGCACTTTGGGACGCCGAGGAGAGCAAATCACCTGAGGTCAGGAATTCAAGACTGGCCTGGCCAACACGACGAAATCCCGTCTCCATTAAAATTACAGAAATTAGTCAGGCGTGATGGCGTATGCCTGTAATCCCCAGCTACACGGGAGGCTGAGGCATGAGAATTGCTTGAACCCAGGAGACAAGAGTTTGCAATGAGTCAAGATTGCACCACTGCACTCCAGCCTGGGCAACAGAGTGAGACTCTGTCTCATAATTAATTAATTACTTAATTAATAATAATAACAAAATTTCTCCCCTTGTCCTTTTTTTTTTTTTTTTTTTTTTTTTGACAGGGTCTCTAAAGGCTGGAGTGCAGTGGTGCAATCACAGCTCACTGCAGCCTCGACCTCCCAGGCTCAAGTGATCCTCCTACCTCAGCCTCACATGTCACCACACCAGCTAATTTTTTTTTTAAGTATAGGTGTTGGAGGGAAGTCTCACTATGTTCCCCAGGCTGGTATCAAACTCCTGGACTGAAGCAATCCTCCTACCTTAGCCTCCCAAAGTGCTGGGATTTCAGGCATAAGCCACCACTCCCATCCCCCTTGTCTTTCTGTAAGACATCATTCTATCATATGTTATAGAAACCTCCCAAATTGACACAAAAAAGCTGCTGGTGACATGCTGCTCCAGCAAAAAGGGGATCGGGGCTAAGAACATTGGTCTTAAGGGAGCCCAGGATACATGCAGAGGTAACAATCCAGGGCATTCAATTAACCGGACAGGTAGGAAGAGTCATTGAACCCCACTTGGCACATATGGAAGGGAAAAGTGGACTTGAGGCAGTGGTTTTGTCTTCAGATGCACAGCAGAATTTCTTGGGAGCATTTAAAAAACAATTCAGAGGCCAAGACCCCATCTTCAGATATTCCGATTCAGTTGATAGTTGGTCGGGGGTGGAGGGACCAGGTACCTAGAAGACAGAACTATAGAACTCGATTATCTCTAAAATGTCTGACAAATCTTATGCTATAAGCTGAGAACATAGGATGAATGTGGGAAGGAACAAAGAGAACTAAAGAGACAGGCAATTGTTGCTCCAGGTGGCCCAGCTAAGCTAGGACAAGAACCAGTCTCCAAACCCAGACATCACCCCACGAACTGGTGCCACCTGCAGAGACTATTTTTTTTCCTCGTTCTCCTCAGGTGAACAGAACCACCACATATCATCAGCTCCAGAGGAAGGCCCACGTGTGGATACCTGCACAGATGAGCACCAGGAAGCAAAGATGGAGCTAGGAACCTCTGGCCATGCTGCCAATAGCTAGTGGATGCAAAATCAACCACTGTCTCATCATATGTTCTGTATGTCCGGCCATACTTGAGTTCCCACAGTCCGAATCCCGACAGCTTCACCTGCAGCCGACCATTCACCAGGCAGCTGGAAGGTTTCAGGTTGCCATGGGAGCCCAGGAAGCTCCTATGGAGGAAGAGCATGCCCTGCAAGGGTGAAAATGAGCAAATGAGGGAGACCGGGTGCTGATAACACTGCTGGAAGGAACCGAGGCAGAGAGACAGATGGGCAGAAACACAGAGAGGCCTGGGCAGAGGATGTGCCCATCTCTGTGTTCATTTGTTCAGGAGCCACCAGCATAGCCCCTTGTCCCTGGAGTCAACTGGGGCTGGGACACCCAAAATGGAGAAAACTATTTCCAGCTCCTTTGTGTGAAGCCAAGAAGGCCAAGCCAGCTTAAAATAAATACATCCTAGTGATCAGGCTAGGACGAGTAAATTTGGAGTGTTAAATTGCTCCCAAGAAGTCAGGACCAGAGCTGGGATACAAACCCAGGTGGGACTGGTTAGAAGCCTTGCTTCTAAACCACTAGATTCTCCTGTTCCCTGTGCCCTGGGTGATGGGAGAGAAAAAGGGGGAGGAGGGAGGAGGGAGGAAGGAGGGTCAAAGCACATACTCCCCCTGCACAACTACACAACCCCAATGTGTAATTACACAATTACACAACCTAGCTGAGAAGGGGCAGTGAAGTCATGTGTGGGAGGGGCTATGAGGAGGTCCTGGAGAGGAATGGAGTAGGGGGGAACATCCTGAACAGAGAAGTGAACCCAGGGACAGGGTCTTGGGCCTCTCGGGCACCAGTGACATAAGAGTTAGAAAGAGGCTGGGCATGATGTCTCATGCCTGGAATCTCAGCAGTTTAGGAGACTGAGGTGGGTGGATCACAAGGTCAGAAGTTCAAGACCAACCTGACCAATATGGTGAAACCCCATCTCTACTAAAAATACAAAAATTATCCAGGCGTGGTGGCTAATTTTTACACACCAGGCACCTGTAATCCTAGCTACTCAGGAGGCTGAGGCAGGAGAATCACTTGAACTCAGGAGGCAGAGGTTGCAATGAGCCAAGATTGTGCCACTGCACTCCAGCCTGGGCAACAAAGTGAGACTCCGTCACCAAAAAAAAAAAAAAAAGAGTTAATAAAGAAATTATTTAGACACTTAGTGAGTGTATGGGAGTCCTCAGTAAGGTTTTTCTTTAAATGAAAAGCAGCCCATCAGGCCTCTGAGCCAAAGCTTAGCCATTGTAACCCCTGTGACCTGCACATATATGTCCAGATGGCCTGCAGGAGCCAAGAAGTCTGGAGTAGTTGAAAAACCACACAGAAGTGAAACAGCCAGTTCCTGCCTTAACTAATTGACCCATCTTACGACATTCTACCATTATGACTTGTTCATACCCTGCCCCAGCTGATCAATCGGCCCCGTGACTTTCTTCTTCTGGACAATGAGTCTTATGATCTCCCCACCAAACATGTTGTGACCCCCTCCCCTGCTAACAATAGATAACCACCTCCAACTGTAACTTTCCATAAAGCTGCCCCTCTCCTATCTCCCTTCACTGACTCTCTTTTTGGACTCAGCCCACTTGCACCCAAGTGAATAAACAGCCTTATTGCTCACACAAAGCATATTTAGGTGGTCTTCTATATGGACACGCGTGACAGCCCCCAAATCATTTTCTTTTCTAACAAAAAGCAGCCTGTAGAATCGAGCTGCAGACATAGAAAGCCAGGCTAGAAGCTTGCATGGGTGAATGCCTGCAGCTGTGCTAACAGGAAAGGGGCTACCTAGGGAGTAGTCATGTTCAGATAGGGGATCCGTTGTCCCTTTTCCTTGTAAACCACGTGTACAGTAAGGAGCAGGCAACATGGTGCCAGGTGGGCAAAGACTTCATTTGCATAATAGAAGATTAAGGTAGGGCAGCCAGCTTCATTGCTGGCTATGTAAACGTCACGCCTGGTCCAACCAATCTTTCGGCCCTATGTAAATCAGACACCGCCTCCTCAAGCCAGTCTATAAAATCTGGTGCACTTCGCTGTGGACCCCCTCTCTCGCATAGAAGAGCTATTCTCCTTTCTCTTTCTTTTGCCTGTTAAACCTGTGCTCCTAAACCCACTTCTGGTGTGTCCGAGTACTCGATTTCCTTGGCGTGATACTATGAACCTCAGATATTTACCCCAGACAACAACCAGCTTCACCAGAACAGGGGGGCACCTCTTCCTCCAGTAGTGCTTGACAGGCCAAGTCACTATCCCACCTGAGCCAGAGCCCTGAGGCCAATATTGCATTAGAAATATGGGATAGGGGCTGGGCATGGTAGCTTATGCCTGTAATCCCAGCACTCTGGGAGGCTAAGGTGGGCGGATCATGAGGTCAGGAGTTCGAGACCAGCCTGACCAACATGGTGAAACCCTGTCTTTACTAAAAATACAAAAATTAGCCTGGCATGGTGGCACACATCTGTAATCCCAGCTACTCAGGAGGCTGAAGGAGGAGAATTGCTTGAACCCAGGAGGCAGAGGTTGCAGTGACCTGAGATTGTGCCATTGCACTCCAGCCTGGGCTACAGAGTGAGACTCCGCCTCAAAAAAAAAAAAAAAAAAAAAAGCCTCAAGTTGGCTGGGTGCAGTGGCTCATGCCTGTAATCCCAGCATTCTGGGAGGCCGAGGCAGGGGGATCACTCAAAGTCAGGAGTTCAGGACCAGCCTGGCCAACATGGTGAAACCCCGTCTCTACTAAAAATATAAAAATTAGCTGGACATGGTGGTGGGTGCCTGTAATCCTAGCTGCTCTGGAGGCTGAGGCATGAGAATCGCTTGAACCCGGAAGGCAGAGATTGCAGTGAGCCTAGATCCCGCCACTGCACTCCAGCCTGAGCAATAAAGTGAGGCTCTGTCTCAAAAAAACAAATAACAACAACAAAAAAGAAATATGGGATAATACAGAAAACATCCAAGAGAATGGATACATGCCCCCAGCGCTGCCCCAATCACTCTCCACCCCCTACGCCATGTTCCTTTATCAAAGTGCCTTATTTGTTTTTAGATGGTAACGTTGAATCACATTTTGAAATTGCCGCCCACTCAACTGCACCTGGAGGGGCCTGGCTGGGGTTGCCCCTGGGACTTCCCCAGGGAGGCTCCAATAGGCTAAGGTCCAAGCTTGAAGTCGGGTGAGACCTGTGTCTAACCCAGAGTTCGCTCTGATGCCAGCAGGAGACCACTCCATTCAACAGAACTGTCCCTGATACACACAAGGTTTTTTCTGCTTTCCTCCTGCCCTTGCTAGTTCCAGGCCTACATCAAGCATGAGATATTTTACAGTCAACAATTTTACATTCTAGGATTTTAGCAGAACTCCTTCCATTAGGGTAAAAACGACATGCTGAGGGATGCTTGGAATCCTGGGTGTGCATTCCTCTCCAAGAGATGGCATGCATGTCTTTATTTTCTATCTTGATGGAAATGTATGATTTTTATGTATATTGTCATAGAGCAAATAGAGCTACGAAAGGATTCATTATTTACATGTCAGATTTTATACACTTTTGGCAGCTCTGAGACAGGAATAACACAGGGTGACCGCAGGAGAACAGAAAATTCCAGGTCTGTTACACATGGCTAGCAAAAAGGAATTGAAATAGCTGCATAAGCTATTATTTTCAGGGCTGATAAGACCCTGAAAAGAACAGGGTGTGGGCCAAGCAGGCTAAGACCAATTGGACCCAACATGGTGCTGGATTTGGCCTAAGTTTCACCTGGGACCTTATTATAAGCTCATTAACATACTAGGTCACACACCCACTGGTGCCACAACAGTTCCAGGAATAGCCATATTTGATGTAAAAATGGGTAGCACCGCAGTTCCCAGAAATCTCCACCTTTTTCCAGGAATCCTCATGAATATTCTACCCCTTGGTTAAAGAAACTCAAGAAGGTAGAAGCCTCAAATCCCATTGCGCAACTCTTTCCCTCTTGAGTCCGCCCACACTCCCCTTTCCTGAGTGTGTACTTTTCACTTTGCAGTAAATCTCCATACTTTCACTGTTTTCTGATTTATCCTTGAATTCCTTCTCACAATGGTGTTAAGAGCTTTCACATTGGCTGGGGTCGAGGTCCCACCAGCATTTGGGGACCTCCCCTAGCCCGCCAGTATCAGTCCAATCATCTGTCTGTTAGGTACATTTCTTGCCCTACTGAAAATTCCTGGGTGGCAGACAGGGCTCCTACCTCTGGGCCCCATATCTGTACTCTCTGGTACTTAGCAGGGAGGAAGCATCACATAGAAGAGCAAACACAGCCTTTGGAGACGGACTGGCTACAAATCCCAATCTGTGTCTTACCAGCTGGGCAGGTGACTTCACCTCATTAAGCCTCACTTTTTCCCTCTTGGAAATGGAGATCATGTCACTCCAATATTACTATGATTGGAGCTAAAAATGAATTAATAATGGAGTTCATTGTTAATTATTGAGATCACTGTCCAATAGAAACATAATACAAGCCACATGTGTATTTTTACATTTTCAGCAGCCATGTTATAAACCAAACAGGTGAAGTGTATTTTATAATGTTTTATTTAACCCAATGCATTGAAAAATCTTATTTCAGCAAGTAACCAACATAAATATATTAGCAAGATATTTTATATTTTATTATTCTTGCTAAGTCTACAAAATCCAGTATAAACTTTATAGCACATCTCAAATTGAACTAGCTACAATTGCAGTGCTCATTATCCACATGTGGCTGGTGGCTATCATATTTGGACAGTGCAGACTTACCTCATAAGAGTGTTGGGGAAATTAAAACAAGAAAATGTACTTCTTTTAATATCAGTAATAGAATTATCTATGATCATGATAATACTACTGCTACTACTAACAATCAACATTTACTGGACGCCTGTTACAGGCAGGGCATGGCACTAAGCATTTTGCATACATTAGGCCTCACGCAACCCTATGAGTCAGGTACTGATGTTATCTTTACATAGAGGAAATATGAGGCCCAGGGTTGTTAAGGTCACCTGGCCAATAAGTGGCAGTCAGGGTTTAAACTCCAAAGACAACTTCTATACTGAACTATCCTTCATCCTCTTAATCCATCGAGACTTCTCTTACTTAGACATGAAGCCCTATTTGTAACTCAAGGAGAGTATTATACTCTCCAAACTCCTTCCCAGGCTTGCCCAACTGGGTTGAACTTTTTGGGGACAGGACAATGAGGTTCATTCGTCTGTGCCTCCTATGCCCAGAATCGGGTCTGATCCAAATTAGGCACTCACAATCAATATATGTTTGTTGCCTTGAAATGTCTATGGCATCTTGGAGTCCCTCTGATACCTGATATAGAGGAGGTGCTGATCAAATAGACATTGAGAGACTTGTTTCCAAAGTACAATCGCCCTCATGGAGCTTGGCCCAATGCCCAGACTCCTGGGAAGGCTCTAAGAGAACATTACATTTTCTGTTACTTGCAATCCCCTTTCAAAGAACATTGGCAGAGTAATTAACCTCAAAGGTCCTACCTGTGCCTATTGTGACCTAGCCTATTGTGTCATCAGTAGTGACCCTACATGATCCCAGAATGTGCACACTCCGTCTCAGGAGGTAATGATCCTGCCAAAGCAAAATGCCAAGCTGTCCTCTGTTTTCCTGGCACAGAGTAGAGGGTAGACTCAGTGAGCTAGAGTAGGTGATGACCACCAGGGAGCTCTTCCCCTTCAAAATGCCATGCCCACCTGCCATAGCGTTTTTCCAGAGAAACCTTTGGGTTAATGCTTCTTGAAATCTGATGCCTACACTAAAGAGGTCAAATCTGTTAGTCATTCATGGCTTGGTGAGAACCTACTAGCTTACTCTTCACTTCCAAAATAAATGATGTCGGCTATTTTGATGGGGGCAGGAGGCAGATAATTGGAGTCCAGAATGTTTCTCTATGTTTGGTGGGAAAAGAAAGGAAAAGTGAGTGAAGGGAAGGAGAGAATATTCCAGGGTAGGAAAAGATGCCACGTCACATCCTCCCAGTTTACAATCACTGCCACTTAAAGAATTTTATAGGTACATCTCCAGACTGTTTTATTTTCCCCTAGATTTTAAGCCATTCAAAGCTGGAAACAAGTCCTTTCTTCCTACAAAAGTGACCAGAGTAGGACAAACTCTTAACAGATGCTCAATAAAATTTTAATGAAATAATAACAGTGGTGGTCCAGGGTTGCCAGTGAAGACCCAATCACAGAGATGGTTCTGTTTATTGACCTTGCTTGACAACAATCTGCTGGCTTCCTGCTAAAGCCTAGGAAATCAAAGTCTCACAGAGCTATAGGACTCAGCTCCCTAGAAACAAAAAGCAATAAAATCCTTGTTGAAGGAAAGCCCTTAGACTTCAATTGGGCCAACCTCATTCATTCTACCTACGTAGAGGTCGAGGTCTAGAGAGGGGAAGTGTCCTGGCAAAATCACTCAATAAGTCGGTGGCCCATTAATCCAGGAGGGCACAGCCTGTGTTTCATTCTTTTTGCCCTCTCAACACCCAGGTGAGTCTTCCCCACAGGAGTCTGTTGGTTGATTGATGGTTGGACTATTGACTAGCAGTGGACCACTATCCTTCACCGTGCTGCCCATGACTGAGAGGTTTCCTCACCAGACTGACTCCCAGGTCACTAGCTTTGTCCTGGCGGTAAAAGTACAGGCAGCAAGCTTAAGAACAGCTGGATTTAGCGCAGGTGGGAGAGAGCAGCCTCAGGATGCTGGTCCATACTGACAGGGCTCGTCCCACAGCGAATCTCCTCCCATTCCTGCCCTCTCCATCCCTCATCACCAGCTGCATACCTAGGGCATGGCCCTTCAAGACAGTGTCACCTTGGACTTTGGATCCAGCTGCCACCTCTCAGCATTTCCACTGCCTTCCTGGCAACAGGCAGGAATTGGTCTCTCTCCAACTCCCTCTGAATTACCCCTCCCCAGCCCCTAATGGGCTTCTAGATATGAGACTGACTTCTCCCTGTGGTAAAACACAAAAGCAAGCTCTCGTGCTTCCTACTCAGAGGCAGTATGGTACGGTGGTTAAGGGTATAGGACTTGAAAATGGCTGGGTTTGAATCCTAACTCCACTAGTTCATAGCTATGAGACTTCAGGAAGGTCATAGGAACTTTCTGTGCTTTGTGTTTCTTTAATCTGTAAAACAGAAGTAACAATAGATCTATCTTATATTTTTGTGAGAATTCAATAAATTAATATATACAAAGTACTAGAAAGTGCCTGGCCCAAAGTAGGCACTCTATATATTTTAGTGTTACTATTATTCCCTTCTTCTTTGCAGCCACCATAGCCCCCTGGGCCAAAGCAAAGGTTCTACCTCCTCCGATCAGCATCTCTGGCCCACCTCTTAGGTCAGCAGCTTTGTGGTTAATGTGGCATCCCCATTTCCTACGGAAAGAAATCAGGGGCTACAGAGCAGGGAAGGATATCAGGAATCACCTCCCCCAGTCCAATTTATAATCTAGTGATGAGATGCTCTTTGAGATAGAAAGTTCTACCCTACAATGTAAATATTCTGCTCTTTTCTGATTGGGTAAACTTAGCAACCATTCCAACTTTAGTGTAAAATACTTTCCTCTCTCTATATTTATTTGCAATCAGGGAAGAGGAAAAGAAAAAATCGGATAGAAATGATAGATTTTAGAGCTAGAATCACCTTGAAGAGGAGATCTGAAGAGGTCCAACATTTTCAAGAAGAATTACAGTTCAATTAAATTCAAGACACAGCAACTCAAAAATACTATCACATTTATTCTTTGGTAAGTTTATGTTATACGCACATTGACTATGTCATATGCAAATGAGAGTTTGAATATCCAATCTATTTCATGATCCGAGTTTCTCAAAACATCCTGAAAAACACAGTTATTCAAAAGATTCCTAGTGACCCAATGTGAAGCACAGTGAGCTTTAATGACTGAACAGATATGACTGTAACATAGCTTATATTTTTGGCCAGAGCTAATGCAATGTGGGGCAGAAGACTTTAAACCTAATAACCGGAAATCTTCCCAGGAGATACCATAACCTGACTCAATATTGAGAATGCACGCAGTCTTGAGTTTTACAAACACTTCCTTGTTCCTGACAGAAAGCTGTCGTCACATACCATAATAGGATGGGCCCAGGAACACAGTTCAAGAGTAGCCATAACATCTTAAGAGAAGAAACCAAGCTCAGTTTCCCCCCAGAACAAAAGAAGCAGACACTTGGCTAATTTGATTCCCAGAAGGTAGCCTGACAACATAATTCAGGCCTTGCAATTAGACCAGAGAGGAACTGGCCTTGGATGAACAGCAGAGGTCACTGAGAAACTTCTTTATTATCTATCACTAATCAAACCTAAGGTGCACTTTACTGTTTTCCTTACCTTAGGACTTCGTTTTTTGCAATACTGAGTGACAATGCAGATGTTAGGTGGTTTGGTGCACATACCAAAGAAGGGAACAATGTTCTCGTGCCTTAATTCACCCATCTGGAAATAATCATGGTTACAATAGCTCATGTATAGAGTGTGTCTCTATGTCCAGGACCATGCTGTGTGCTTTGCATATTTTCAGTCAATTCTTATTAAGACCTTGTTAGATAAAAACTGTTACAGATCCCATTTTACAGATGAGGGAACTGGCACTGAAAGGTAAAGTAAAGGAACGCCTATAAGTGGCAGAGCTGGGAGGTAAACCCAGGAAGTCTGTCTCCAGCAAATAAATCAGAGGAATGATCAAAGTCTAACCTCAGTCATGGGGATTAACTCAACCACGTCACAGTAACTGGACTCAGCCCTGCTTCCACGCTTATGGCTGTCAATGCCAGTGTAGGGCCCACTGCAGATCACAGAGAAGGAGCAGGAAGTCAGGCCCATGAACCTGACTCACTCCAAGGACCAGGTTCAAGGCTGGCAGGCAGGCAAGCAGCCATCACAGACAGAGAGGATGAAGGGCCAGAATCAAGGCCAGGAAGAATGATGGGGAAGAAACAGAGGTAGGAGTGATCCTAGGCTTCAGGTGCCTGGGAGAGGCCAGGGGTCTGAGATTCAAAGCCTGGGCTGTCGAGGGGAGGGAGAGGTAGGTCACGTTAAGGGAAGCAGCCTCCCATCTCTGCTCCTTTGGGACCAGGGAGCTGGCAGAGGAGGGGCAGAGAGCATCACTGCTTTGTCTCTCCACTGACCCTGGGCAGGGGGCCTTACCAGCTGTATTTCCTGGAGCACAGTCAGCTTCCTAACCCAGGCTTCTGCTTGGTGACCACCATAGCGGATGGCCACGTGGTTTCCCTAGAATCAGAGAAAAAGTGAAATGTTCTTAACTCAGGATGAACCAGAAAAAGCTCCACTTAGGGCTAGGGAGGGGAGCAAGAAAACTGGAAAGAAATGCACCTAGGAGCCAATCATCAAGCTCCTCACTGCCCAAAAAAACCCCTTTGGTGACCCTGTGCACGGCCAGGCACTGAGCTAGCTGCTTAGCACGTAAGATCTCCTTTAACTGGCATCACAGCCCTGCGAGGTAGGTATGATTGGCCCATTCCCAGATGGGATTGTTGAGGTTACGAAACTTGCCCAAGTTGCATATTTGTAGGTAGTACAGCCAGAACTTGAAAGTCTGACTCCAAGACTACGCGCTTTCTATTATATAATAATATCCCATTATCATTCAGAGGAAACAGTGAGTTACAGTGATAAGTGTAGGTTTGGAGTCAGTTGCCTGATTCTAAGCCCAGTGCTACCACTTACTACCTGAACAAGCTTGAGTTGTTCTTAACTTCTCTAAGCCTTTATTTTCTCATCTGTAAAATGGGAGTGAAAATAACACCAAACCTAAAATAAGTTTAAAAAAAAAAAACCCACACCCATCTCATATGGTTTTCTGAGCATTAAATCAGTTAAAATACCACTGGTAACTCCAGGCCTGGCACATAATAAATTTTCAGTAAATGGCATATTTGTATTGCCTATGGAGTCTGCTTTTAGAGAGTCACTTAATCAGGCATCACAAAAACATATCATAATGTGGTAAGAGCTGGATGGAAGAAGGCATAGAATCTGGACCCAAGAGAAGGTAAGCCATAAGAGAAGACAAATATCACGTTTCGTATGAGGGCAATGACAAAGGACTAGGACTGTGATGGGAGGGCCACGGAGGAAGGAATGCCTGGGGGATGAAGAAAAGGATTCTTGGAGGGGTGATGCTTAGGCTGAACCTTGAAGGATAAGAAGGTTCCACATGGGTTGGGTGGAAGGGGAGTGGCATCGTCAGAAGGTGAAACATACATGGCAAAATCGGCAAGACCAATTGGGTGAGCACAGGATTTAAGCCAGGGGGAAAAAAGATTAGAAAAATAGGTAGGGACTAGCGATTTAAGAGGCTTGAGTCCTTTATTAAAGAGTTTGGGCACTATCACGCAGGCAACAGAGGTAGGGAATCCAGTGATGGTGTTTGACAGAGGAAAGAGGAGACATATTTTCGGAAGATCAATCAGACAGTGATATGCTATATGTTGCTACTTCCTTCTTTATGTGGCTGGGTGACCACCACATAGAGTTTTGTATGGATGGTGGTCCCTAAGGTATTTGGTAATATCCCAGGAGGTTTTTGTAGTTTGAGAACTCAAGTAAGCAAACATTTAAAAAATCAAGTTTCATTGCATAGGGGATAATTTGGCTCTAGCCTTTTCTAACCCCAATTTAGAGCAATGAACAATTCTTCCCTTGCTCAAAGCTTTCTGTCCTTACTCTCTGGGACCCCCATTTTAAATAATAAATACAATTTTGTACATACTCTTCCCCCAAAGGGACTTGAATTTTGGAAGGACTGCTAGGTACAGGCAGCAATCATGGTCTGGGTGTAGGAGGGAAGGTGAGAAAGGACAAGCGGGAATTATGTTCCAGGCTACAGCAGCAGTCACTGTCTACACCACAGAAGCATCAGGCCCCACGACTGATTCATCCATGCCAAAGTAACAAGGATGAAATAATCCACACTCTAGGACTGCACTGTCCATTCACAGAGCCACTAGCCACATGGGGCTATTTAAATTTAAATTAATTAACATTAAACAAAATTTAAAATTCAGTTGCCCAGACACACTAATGTTCAGTAATCACAGGAGGCTAGTGGCCACTTTATTGGACAGTGCAGATCTGCGTCATTTCCATCATCACAGAAGGTTGTATCAGACAAAGCTAAGTCTAATCTAGAAGCCAGCTTGGGAATCACCTAGAAGATTCTTTAAAATGCAGACTCTCCGGCGCCACACCACACCTATCGACCAAGAATCTGCATTTTAATAAGAGCCCCAGGTGATCCTTCCGCACATTAAAGTTTGGGAAGCACTAGTCTGGAGTCACAAGACCACCTTGGCTTTTGCTTGGAGAACGTTCTCCTATTCAGAATGCCCTGCCTGGCAGAAATGATGCAGAGAACAGGACAGAGATATACTAAGATCTATAGGCAACCACCTGGCCTCAGAAATACCTGATAAAGCCCTATTGGGGCATAGAAGAGCTCTTCCCCCGCTGGCTCTTGACAAAAGAGCTGAGGTCCACAGAAATCACCACACTAGATGAGTTACTGGTGATGCCTCTTGACACAGGTGTGCCTCTCTGGGGTGGCTGTAAAACGGGAAATGATTTGGTCACTCTCAGTAGCAAGGTCAAGTACTAAAGGGAATGCATTTTATAGAGGAGGAAGCTGAGTGCCAAGGTCAGACAGTTAATAATAAGAGAGTCAGGATTTGAAACGTGATCTTTCTGACCTGCTACATGCATCATTCTAAGACAGCACCGTCCCATCCTCCATGCCCTCTATGGCGTCTGTACCACCATGGAGGTGTAGGTTAAGAGGGAAGGCTCTGAGGTCAGACTGCCCAGACTTAAGTTCTGGCTGTGGCACTTAATTAGATGTGTGGCCTGGGGTTAGTGTCATTTTCTTAAAGAACATCTAACCAGGTTGTCTCTGTTTAATACCCTCAGTGCCTCCCAACACCTAGAAAACATCTTCAAAGCATAGGAATCTTGTTTTCAAGGAGAATCTTATCTGGAACCCTCATGTAGAAATGAGGTAGATCAAAGCAGAGCTGCTTTGGTGGAACAGGAAAGAGTAAGTGTCTGAATCCCCGGGGATGTTTGGAGATGAGTTACTAATAAATCGCAGTCACCTGCTCTTAGCATGTTGAAGCCTCCCTGACTTGGTACCAGCCAAGCTTCCCAGCCCTGAGCATCACACATCTCGTTATATCCCGTGTGACTTCACTTTTTTTCACCACTTGCAAACTCACTCTTTTCAAATGTCCCCTCCTCTCCAAAGTCTTCCAGATGCTGAGACCTTAAGTCCCTCTATCTGCAGGGCTTCCGTCTCACCGTGGAAACACCTCTCTGACACTTGCCTCCCTCTGGAGGCATCTCATTTGTGGGATATCCCCATGCCTTGTATGATGCTTGGCTTGTAGTTAATGGTCAAGTCCTTGTCAAACAAATGAACATTACTGTATTAGTCATCAATTGATTAAAAGAGTTAATGTGGTTTTGAAAATAACTAAATCCAGCCGGGCATGATGACTCATGCCTGTAATCCCTGCACTTTGGGAGGCTGAGGCAGGTGGATCACCTGAGGTCAGGAGTTCGAGACCAGCCTGACCAAGGTGGTGAAACCCCATCTCTACTAAAAAAAAATACAAAAACTTAGCCGGGCGTGGTTAGAGGCACTTTGTAATACCAGCTACTTGGGAGGCTGAGGCAGGAGAATCACTTGAACTCTGGGAGGCAGAGGTTGGAGTGAGAGCCGAGATTGTGCCGTTGCACTCCAGCCTGGGCAACAAGAGTGAAACTCCATCTCAAAAAAAAAAAAAAAAAAACAAAATAAAAAATAAAATAACTAAATCCTCCCCAGGAGACAGCTTTAATATCTGAACAGCATCTACAGTTCTCACCCACAGAGTAACAGAGCAAATGGAACTTTAGAGACTGTCAATCATTTTTAAGTATTTAGAAACTGAGTCTTGGGGAGGTAAAATGACATTCTCAGATTCAGCAAGCAAGTGGGAGGCCTAGAACCAGAACTCAGGCCTGGAGACTCTTCATGAAGTATTCACTTTATAAATTAGCCTCTTGCTCTTATAAGCTCCTAGATGAAGCACCTTCCACAAATCTCCAGCAGTGACCAGGAAAGGGGACATCTGGGTCATATGTGGCCTCACCTTGTTCTGGGGAAGAATGATGATATCGTCAAAATTGATTTGCCACCAGATGTCTTTGTTTTGCCTCTGCAGTTTTCCCCTCTGTGTCCTTAAAATCAGACCTATGATGGCAGCCCCCAAGACAGGAATCAGGATCATCATTGTGAGAACCACAGCAGTCACGCCTGGAGGGTAGAGGCATATTACCCAGGCCTTGCCTAAGAGCAGTAGCATGTACCTCCCTGCCCAGCTGGGCCCTGCCAAGCAGGCTCCTCAAAGGCTGTCCTCCAGAAGGTCTGGGTTAGGACACATGAAGTCTACTCTGACTTGTCTCTTCCAGGAATTTTTCCCCAACTACCACCCTAGTTCCCATTGGAACTGCATTCACCTCCCACTTTGTACAGAAAGTTCCACTGCAGAGAAATAATAATGATGACTTCTAACTCCACCACCAGTGTTTACTGAACATTTACTGTGTGTTCTCCTTAGGGTGGTTCTCCAGGCATGATCCATCTAATTCCAGGGCTGAGCTCCTAACCACTGGGGCACACTCCCCTGCCCAGACTCTTTCAACCTCCCTAGAGGTGAAGTTCCTGAGACTCAAATCTCAGGAGCCAGGTTCCCTTAGAGCAGTGATTCTCTGCAGGGGAGGAAGGTGATTTTGCTTCCTAGGGGATATCTGGCCATGTCTGGAGACATTTCTCGTTGTTCCAACTAGAGGGCTGCTACAGGCATCTGTGGGTAGAGGCCAGGGATGCTGCTAAACATAATATACAGGAACGTGTGACTTGAAATGCCAGGCTCACCATACACAAAAATTATCTGGCCCAAAATGTCAACAGTGCTGCCTGCCATAGAGACACCCTACTATAGAAAGTCCTTCCCTGCTACCTTCTCCAAGCAGCCATATTTACCCGTAAAAGCAGGCTCAGTTTCACAGAGCTCATTATAAAATCCACAGCCAGGTCTGTCTTCAGGAAGGGAGCCAGGGGTCCAGGCCATATTGGAGAAATTCCCTGTAGTCTTTAAAAAAAAAATAAAGGTCAGTGTCAGCTCAATTTATTCTATTTGACTCTACCTCATGTACAGCACGGACAATGGAAAAATGCATGTTATTTGCAAAACTCAGGCCCTGGTCTCTCAATTCAAACTTCTGTCCAGTTTGCCCAACTCTCCTAGGCTCTTCAAATCCAGCCTTCAGGTAATTTGATTCAAGGAAGGCAATATCTTTTTGCCGTTGAAATAGCTTCCTCAATCTTTTGACTTAAACCACGTCACTTTTGGTTTAAAAGATGACATGCCAAGTTGATGTTGCTGGGACTTTCGCCTGTGTTTGATGTAGAGAAATCTTGTTATATAGCAGCTTGAGATCTCGAAGCACAGCTTCACTTGAAGCACAGCTCCTTCACACCCCAAACTAGTACATAGGCTCTGACAAAGGACATATTGCTGATTTTGTCTCACAGGGGACAGGACACAAAATTACCACTGATAAAGCACCTAATAAGTGCACAGCACTGCCGGTGGTGTTGACTTCCTATGTCTAATCCTAATTAACCCTTCAGAGGGGGCACCATCATCTATCTGTTCCCAACAAGCAAAGCTTGGAGGCACAAACTCCTTGAGTCTTCCTGCCAGGGCCAGGAAGTGGCACAGCTGGTACACAAACCCAGGCCTATCGGGCCCCAGTGCCGTGTTCTTTCCAGCATGCCATACTGCCTTTCTGTGTACATATCTGTGGGCATCCTGAATGGGGTTATTGAGCCCGAGGTTTCACGGGAAAGGCCAGAGCTCCTGCGACAACCTGGGCCACTGCTTTCAGTGTGCATTGCGTTCACGGAGCCAAAGCCAGTGGGGTTTGGGGGTTCTGCTCCCTAATTCGGTCTCCTAGAGGAGGCCTTCCTTCTGGAATGGTCCAAAAGCCCTGCGGCACTGGCCCATGGAATGGATGCTACCATGTGGCAGAAATGAACAGAGAAAACAGAGACAAATACTCCAGTTCTGCCAAGGCTAGTCCTGTAGCCCATAAAGGAACAGAAGCCAGTCTGGAGGGGTGAGGAGGGCCCTTTGGTCATGAGTCCCTGAAAGGTGTCCACGGGCCCCAGAACCAAAGTGGGATGACTCAGGCTCTCTAAGGGCCTCACTGCTCTTCACACCCTCCCCTCATCCCAGCATGAAGAATTCCTAAAACCACAGGAAAGATGAATTAATTGATCTGGCAGAGAGGATTAAATTGAGAGCAGAAAGAAGGACCTCCCCCCCCCACTTGTGACCTCTCCCTTTTTCAAGCAAATGCTTTAGGGTCTGAAAGGAAAGAAGAGAGAGAAGTTGGTGAATATTTCCACTTGCAAAAAGTATCAATACGGTAAACGAGACCTGCTTCTACGAAATAGAAAAATATAAAATAGAAAGTATAAAAATAGGGACCATTTGGCCGGGCACAGCGGCTCACGCCTATGATCCCAGCACTCTGAGACACCGAGGTGGGAGGATCCCGTAAGCCCAGGAGTTTAAGACCAACCTGGGTGACAGAGCAAGACCCCGTCTCAAAAAGAAAAAAACAGAACCTACTATTTAATGAGCACATACTCTGTGCCAGGTGCATGTCATATTCTCATTATGCCTATGTTACAGGATAGCAAAGAACATGAGCCCTGGAGAAGGCAGGCTTGATTTTGAATCCTGGCTCCACCATCTAATAACTTTGTGACCTTAGACAAGGTACATAACCTTTGTAACCTCGGTTTACTCACCTGAATAATACAGATAGAAACAGTACCTGCCTCATGGGCTGTGTGAGGATTCAATTAGGTAATTCTCAAAAGCTCTTAGCACTTGGGCTAGTGTAAGGTAAGCCCTCCCTAAATGTCAGTTATTATTGTTTCTGTATGTGGTAGCAGGTGTTATCCCTATCTTACAGGTGACAAAACTAGAACAAGAAAGATCAAAGCAGTTGGTCAGCTGAGTGTGATTTGAAAGCAGTTCACTCCCCAGCAGGGAGTGAACTCATCCCCACCAGGAAAGCAAGAATGAGACTACAACCCATCTTTAGAAGTCTGTGGCGCCAGGGTCCCCATCACAGAGGCTGCAGACGGGAAGTGACCCCGGGAGACGGCTCTCACATTTCTGAATTTTATTCTTGATGGACTCAGTTTCAGTGGAACTGAGGGGGAGAATTCCCAAAAGGGGATAAGGTGCCCAGCGGCCTCCTCTCCTGGTCTGGGCAGGCTCCGGCCAGAAGGATGAGTGAACTGTGGGAACTGGGAGGTCTTAATCTCAACTACCTTACAGAAGGAAGACTGGAATCCCCACAAGAAAGATGAATTCTGGAGTTCAGTGCGAGGCAGGCCCTGAAAGAGGCCTTTAATTACATGCCCAAGATCTCAAAGCCCCCACCGACCGGAGCCGCAGGTCTGAGTTTAGAACACCTCCCAGTAGTAAGCCAGCTACCCTGCACCCTGGCCGGACTGGAACCCTTCAGAGCGCTGACCAGCTGCCGCCCGTCCTGGAAGTCGCCTCCAGCCTTTACCATCTGCTTCACGGCCTCAGCATAGAGCAGGACGGCGTCGTGAAGGTAGGCAGAGTAAAGGCTCACCTTCAATAAGACAAGCAAAGCACGGTCTCAAGAGGTTCATGGCCTCTTGAGTCACCGTCCAGCGCTGTTAGGAGGAATCTCTCTTCGTCCGCCTGACAGTGGCACCCAGCACTTTCTTCCCCCATTCCACACAGCAGAGGGCCCAGCACACGCCTGCGCCTGCGCTGTGAAACCCAGACGTCGCGGTCTTCTTCATTTTCCTTCTGATTGCCGCGTTCCCCAATCAGATCTCCTGATCCTTCAGGGACGCTCTTCAGGCCTCAGGTGGGAGGGAGCATGGTTTCAGGGAAAGAGGGTACATGTTGGAACTAGACCAGCTCAGCTCCCTACTGGCTATGGGTAAGTTCCATAACCTCTCTGAATCTCAGCTCACTGCTTTATAAAATGGGGATAGGCCAGGTGCGGTGGCTCACGCCTGTAATCCCAGCACTTTGGGAGGCCAAAGCGGGCGGATCATGAGGTCAGGAGTTCGAGACCAGCGAAACTCCTGACATAGTGAAACCCCATCTTTACTAAAAATACAAAAATTAGCCGGGCGTGGTGGTGGGTGCCTGTAATCCCAGCTACTCAGGAGGCTGAGGCAGGAGAATCACTTGAACCCGGGAGGTGGAGGTTGCTGTGAGCCAAGATTGCACCACTACACTCCAGCCTAGGTGACAGAGCGAGACTCCATCTCAAAAAAAAAAAAAAAAAAAAAAAAAAGGATAAAACCGCTGTTGGGTTGAATGTGACAATAGTTAAATAAGGCATAATAGGTAAACTATCCATTGCAGTCCCTGACCCTTAGTAGGTCTTCAGGACATGATGTCTTCTATTGATCAGTCAAGGAAAATACAAGTGCCTACTAAGTGCCAGGCACTGTTCTCCCAACAGTACCAGGTACAACGCTGACACTTAGTAGATTGTTCCTCAAATATTCTTTAACTGGTTATCTTGTCTTATATGTTGGGATCCACGATCGGCCCCCTCATTTCGAATCAAACTCCTTGTCATCAGTGGCCTGTGGTCACCTTAGGGCTTCAGCTTGGCCCCATACTGGAAGTAGCTCTAGCTCTGTACAAAGGTCTGTCTTCAAAAAATTCTCTGTAGGAGCCAGACACTGTGCCTCCTCATCACACACATACTGGGATTACCACAGGCAGACCCTCTCCCTCCTGACCATCTTCTCCCTGTTCCAGTCCATCTGCTGACCCTGACCTGTCCTAGCTCCACATCTCTGACCACTCCATCCTGGGTCTAGGTCCTGGCATCCTCCTGGGGAAGGAAATTGTCATGGTCTGAGTAGCCATTAATAGCCACGCCTGTAGTGGCTCACGCCTGTAATTCTAGCACTTTGGGAGGCCAGGGTGGAAGGATTGCTTGAGCCCAGGAGTTCAAGAGCTGCCTCGGCAACATAGAGAAATCACATCTGTACAAAAAAAAAATTTTTTTTAATTATCAAGGCGTGATGGCATGTGTCTATATTTCCAGCTACTTGAGAGGCTGAAGTGGGAGGATTGCTGGAGCCCAGGAAGTCGAGGATGTAGTGAGCATGATTGCACCACTGCACTCTAGCCTGGGTGACACAGCAAGACCCTCCCTCAAAAAGGAAGATACCTGCTTTGCTAGTACCATGGACAATGTTACTAAATACACAACACCACAGCCTGGGAGGTAGATGCCATCATCAGTCCCGTTTCACAGATGAAGAGACCAAGGTGTAGGGAGGTTAAGCAATTCGCTACAAGGTCCAACAGTTAGCAAATAGCAGCAGTAGGATGGGGGCATAGGCCTCTGCTCCAAAGGCCTTTCACCCAGTAACCTCTGAAGTATAAATTCACAGGAGAGCATCAAACTGCTGTTTATTTTGGGCGTGGAAGATGGGGAAGTGCATGTGTGTGTGCACCTGCATGTGTGTAAGGGAGGTGGGGAGAGATGAGGAGAAATAAGAGGGAGAAATGCAAAAGCCAAACACAAATATCATCAAAGAAGGGGAGGAGGGAGCCTGAGCTGGAAGACCCGACATCATCCCTGCTCCTCCGAGGAGATGGTGCTGCGGAAAGGCGGCCTCCTCAGGGTTTGGTAGACTTGTTTCCAAAAGCCTTCGTCTCCACGGCCTTCTCCGTAGGAGCTGAGGGCAATGAGAGAAGCACTGACCCATACTTCTTTGGGAGGTGCATCATTTTCTGATTTGTCAGTACTTCCTTCCAAAAATGGTCCTAAAAAGTAATGAAATAAATGTTGGTATTTGGTAGGAAATGCCTTAGCAAGGGAACTGCGTGTAACGCAATGTTTAATTTGAACCACTACATTCTAATCCTTGGAAACACAGTGATTCCAGAAGGCCTGCAATACAAGGTCCATGTTCTCTAGCTGGCATATAAGCAGTGGAAGGAAAGCCATAAATAAAAAAGTAAAAATGTACTTGGTGCATACAGCAGCTAAGATGCAGAGAGCTTACCTACTAACAATGATTATAAAAGCTTAAAAAGCTTGAGACTATAGATTCTTGCTTTTTTTTTTTTACTTGTGACATAGGTGTTTTGTTATCATCATTATAATCTATATTATTACTATTATGAATAGTATATACCCACTCATTATATATATGTGTGTGTATATATACATATATACTTTGACATCTCACACACACACACACACACATATATATGATGATATCATACCATAATGTTCTGCAGCTTGATTTTTTTCCAAAAAACCTATACTGGGAATACTTTTATAAAATAGATTTATGCTATTCTTTCATGAAGTAGCATGAATTCAATTGCATGGACATTGGTGTATTCTTAGTTCTATTTTCTGCCACTACACACCAGTTAGAACTGGATCATCAAGGTGTGGGAGAAGGCAACAGGGGAGTTGAAAAGTTTCCCTGCCAATACTAAATGTGGTCCATCCTCTCCTCTCCTCATCTGCCTGAAGGCAGAGATGAGGAGAAAAGTAAAGAGAAAGGGAAGTGGTCACAATGGAAATCTAAGGTAAGCGAGTATTCTGGAAAGTCTGGCATGCCTTTAGAATTCCAGCTCACCACCCAAAGAAATCTGAGATGTTTTTGTGCATCTGAAAGACTTCATGATAAAGAAGGAAAAATCTGGGATGTTACTATATATCTCCCTTTATTTTCTTCTGTCCTATTTCAGCTTCTTGTGATCATAGTTTTAAAAAGCTTGTTTTAGAAAAATAAAACTGCTAGAAAAATAATGCAGTGTGTCCACAGGAAAAGGCAAGTGGCTTTTGTAGATGCCTGTTGTATAAGATGCTTACAAGCACAGACACAATAGCCCTGTGAGGCAGATACTACTTGCATTATTTCCATGCATCAGTGCACTTGATGAGAGGTGGAAAAGGAGCCCAGACCACCTGGGTTTGAATGCCAGCTCTCCCTCATACTAGTTGGATGGCCTTGGGCAAGTTTTGGCACCTCTCTGAACCTCAGTTTCCTCTTCTGTAAAATGAGGATGATAAAAGTATCTACTCCATAGGGTGGTTGTGAGCTGAAATAAGCTTTAATGTATTAAGCACTCACAGTGAGGCCCAGCACTCCATAAACCCTCCAGAAAGCAGAGTTGTGTAGGGTGAGCTCAGAGTCTGAAAGGCTCAGTCTGGAATACTAGCTATGCCACTTGGGAGCTCTGAGATCTTAGGTAAGGTACCTTAATTATTTAAGCCTTGGCTTTTCTTCCTGTACATTGGAATGCTAATAATATCTACTTTCCAAGGCTGTTGGAAATACCAAGTACAAAAGGTACAGGTACATAAATAATGCATTTAATAACTGCCTCGCAAAACCATTGAGTATATTAAGTGCAATCATGTGCGTAAACCGTGTAACTCAGTCCTTGTAGTAAGCAATTGTATTTTTAGCCATTCTCATCATTACCAAAAGAATCAGACCGCCTAAGAATTGCCTCATTGCATCAATATGTTGGTCTTTCCAGCCCTTTGTTAGAGCTTCAGCAGGGACACAGGGAGGTAGCTGTGGAAGAAAAAGAAGTGAGAGCCACTTGTGTCTGAGAGTCCCTTGGGAAGGTCTTAGCTACCCGGTAGAAATGACAGTTCTTCCTCAACCACTGTTGTCTGATATGGCATACAGAGGACCAGGCCCTCAAGCCAGCCGACCTAGTTCAAGACCTGGTTCAGCCTTTCACTAGCGGTACAGAAGAACTCTGGGTAAATTCTTCCAGCTCCGTCTTAGTCTCCTAATTTTAAGATGAGAATGCAAGAGTGCCTACCTCATAGGGTTGTAGTGAGTGCTCAGTGAGCTGATGCATCCGGGTCATAGCGAGTACTCCATACTTGCTACCTCTTACTACCGGAGCCATTGAGTGGTCGACGGGACCCACCTCCAACTGCTGCAAAATGATGAAAATGAATTCTCCAGTGCTGAGTCCCAGGTTCTCTGTAGCCAGCAGAATAATATTTGCATCCTCTGAGCTGCAGATTAAGATGATAACTATAAGAATGAAAATCAGAGTCAGCCAGTTGCACATGTTCGTGTATGTGTACGCTCTCATACATGCTCTCACTCTCTCTAAGTCTAGCCTAAAGTCACTGTAAAAGAGACATGAACTTTTTCTTTCCTTGGGCGTGTTTTAGGAAACAGGAATGCCTAAACTAGTCCCTGAGGTTTTGCTTCTTTGACTAAGCCTGCATTGTACAAACTAGCAGCTATAGCACTGAAGTCTTTGCTGCAGCCTCCTCACAATGTACAAGTCAAAAAAGTTTGAGATCACTTCTGTGCTCTAGGTTTTTTCTTCTTTTTGGCTCAAAAATCAGAACAGCAGACCTGGCTTGTGACTTGTCAGCCACACCTCAATTAAGAGGAGTTCACAAAGGACCTAGAATCAAGGGCATTTGGACTTTCTGAGCTGGGCTGGCCGGAGGGAGGAGTAGGCCGTGGTACTTTTCTACCATTTAATCACATCACTGTTCATTTTCAGAATATACAAATGAAGTAGTGGGTTTTATTTTTTTATTTATTTATTTTTGAGACAGAATCTCGCTCTACTGGCCAGGCTGGATGGAGTACAGTGGCATGATCTTGGCTCACTGCAACCTCTGCCTCCTGGGTTCAAGCAATTCTCATGTCTCAGCCTCCAGGATAGCTGGGATTACAGGCGTGTACCACCACACCTGGCTAATTTTTGTATTTTTAGTAGAGACAGCATTTCACCATGTTGGCCAGGCTGGTCTCCAACTCTTGGCCTTGAGTGATCTGCCCGCCTCAGCCTCCCAAAGTGCTGGGATTACAGGCGTGAGCCACCACACCAGGCCAGTTTATTTTTTAAATGAAGTAAATTATAGTCTATTTATCTGAGCTCCAATGTTGTGTCAGGCACTGTGCTGGGCACAGACATAGCAGTGAACGAGCCATCAGACAAACAGCATACAAGTGAACAGATTAAAGAGATCACTGAAGATTCTAATTAGTGAGGTTGGAAATGGATGCTGTGATGCTAATGGGTGGGGAGGGGAAGCAACTTCACATCGTGTCATTAGAGAAAGCCTCCCTGAGGAGGTGGACTCTGGATCCAGTCAGCAATGATGCAAGGATGAGAGGAAGCTACCCTCAAGAAGGTGCTGGGTAGGCTGGAGTGTGACTCAGACCACATAAGAATTGCCTCATTGGATCAGTATGTTGGTCTTTCAAGCCCTTTATTAGAGCTTCAACAGGGACACAGGGAGGTGGCCGTGGAAGAAAAAGAAGTGAGAGCCACTTGTGTCTGAGAGTCCCACATTAGCATTACTGGGTGGAGTGGGTGCAGGTGACACCCTAGGCCAAGGGAGTAGAAAACCCTAAAGTCTCAAGGCTGGAGAGAGTTTAGTTTATTTGAGGAACAGAAAGGAGTCAGTTACTAATTCACGCTAGAAAGCTGAGCCTTATAGATATCACCACAAAAATAATTGCTGTCATATGTTGACTAACTACTTGTCCAGACATGGTGCTAAGCACTTTAGAGATGTAACCTTATTTAATCCTCCCCTTTCTATGACATAAGTAGGATGGTTGTCTCCATTTTATAGATAAGATACTTGAGACACAGAGAGATTAAGGTACTTACCCAAGGAGGACACAGTTTAAAAGTGTCAGAGACCGGATTCAAACCTAGGTCTGTCAGTCTGCAGAGCCCCTACTGTAAACAAATAGTGAACTCCAGGACCCAGCCCACCTGGAAGATGCTTCTAGAACTTACTCTGTGTTTCATAACACTGTAGCATGTGGGGTTTTACTTTAGACCAAAAAAAAAAAAAAAAAAAAAAAAAAAAACCACAACAACAACAACAAAAAAACCAACCCACAATTTTTTGTTAGTGATGTCAAGCAATAAAGGAAATTGCTTTTATATATTATTAATTTTGTACCTTGTTTCCATCTGCTTTTACACTCAGAGAAAAATGAAGAGTTTTTGTTTTTTGGTTTTTGTTTTTTTCAAATAACCTTCTTGTCCCATTTTTCTCTCCAAATAAAAGCAACAGAAGACTTTTCTACTTACTCCTGGCAATTGATGATATCCTCCAAAGATGCTCTTGAAGAAGGACTAAACTATTTTTGGAGTATCTCATGCTGGCAGTGATGATAAAATGGGAATTGAGTTCATTCTCTACAACCCTCCACAATTCATCCACTCCATCCCAGGAGGAAGCCCCAGAGTAGCCTCCAAACATCCCAATGTGTTTCCAGCCCAGGTACTGGAGACTTTTCTGGAGCACGTCACCAATGTCCTGCTTGGGTGGCACAAGTTTCACACAGGTGTCACACAGCTTTTTGGTTTGTCCAACAAAGTCAAACATGGAGATGTTCCACTCAGAGGCCAGCAAACCGATAACCTTGAAAATAACCCAGAGGATGTCTTTGCATGATTGAGTTTATGTACACGCAAACCCCAGTGTAAGATATCTGCATAAACCTCAGATTCTGTGAGTCTGTGGGTCATACTGGGCCCTTGCTTTTGTAATGTTGATGACAATGTCAGTCTCAGAGAACAAAGATAACAAAAGCGAGCATTAATTGAGCACTTACTGTGTGCTGAGCACTCTAACAGCTTACATATATCATTTCAACTTTCACAACTTTTCTAGGTGTTATTATTACCCCCTTTTTAAGATAAAACAGGAAGACACAGAGATGTAAGTTACATAGCTAGCAAATAGTGGAGCAGGGTTGGAATTCAGGTAATATGGTTCCAAGGTCCACACTCATAGTTACTCATCCTCTCTTTCTTTCTTAATTTCTCCCTTATTCATTTTTCATTCATTTTAATTAGGGGCCTATCACATACAAAAAACTTTGGAGACCTTGCTCTTAAAGGAGCTCATGGTTTATTACAAGAACCAAGGTATATAAAAAATAACTTTAAAGTGAAATATATTCTTTAAGTTGTATAGATAATAGATTTATAGGCATTTAGAGAAGTAAACAATTACTTTTGATTGGGGAATTAGGGATATGGAGGGCAGAGATGAAGGGATAAAGAAAGGCTCCATGACGTTTGATATTAACTCTTAGGTAGCCTTTGAACAGATAGAAATGTGTTGATGGGGAATTCCAGGAAAGACGGGCTCAAATTTAAATGTAAACTTAGTTCTGCAGCTCCAACTAATGATAGTTCTACAATATTGTTGAGAGTAAGACCTGTGCTGCTCCTTCCTGTTCACCTTTTGCATCAACACTTTTCAGGTGACATGACACCCAAGGACACCAACAAAGCTCATCCCAACAACCAAACAAATACAGGTCATTCATTTCCCTCATTTTCTTACTGTAGGTAAGGTAGTTTGCCGTACTTGATTCTTTCTCATTTACTTGCATTTTCACTGATTAATTTATTATACGCACCAAAGAAAAGCCTACTCAAACAATTGATAGTTTTCTATTTAAAACCACGCATTTGTTTCTTCTTAGTTTCCTAAGCCTTATAGCTTAGGAACATGAGAGTAAACAATAAGAGTCTATATGCAACAGCATCAAGTTCAAACAATCAACAAGAGGAGGAAGAGAGTAGGTGAATGAACAATTATTGATCTGAAAGGCTTTCTGGCCAGATATGGTGGCTCACACCTGTAATCCCAGCACTTTAGGAGACCGAGACCGGTGGATCACCTGAGTCACGAGTTTGAGACCAGCCTGGCCAACATGGTGAAACCTTATCTCTATTAAAAATACAAAAATTAGCTGAGTATGGTGGGGCACTCCTGTAATCCTAGCTACTCAGGAGGCTGAGGTGGGAGAATCACTTAAACTTGGGAGGCAGAGGCTGCAGTCAGCTGAGATCATGCCACTGCACTGCAGCCTGGGCAACAGAGCAATACTCCATCTAAAAAAAAAAGAAGGAAAGAAAGAAGAAAAGAAAGAAAGAAGAGAAAGAAAGAGAGAAAAAGACTTTCTAAAGAGAATGTTAACTCTTCTAATTATATAGTCTAATTGCATCTCAAAAATGGTATTCAAGGTCTACATGGTTATTATTACAATAATGTGACCCTTGCCAGGAGATTATTCAAATTTGTACCATCATCTTGAAGGCCACCCCTTCCAATGGAAACCCAAAGTTTCCAGAGGCTATATATATATTCTATCTCAGTTGCTTCTGGGAATGCTGGTCCAAACAGGGCAGAAATCTGTTCTCTCTGGACCTGGTTATTGAAAATAGCAAGAGACTCCTTGGTGCTGCAGGCTGAGTTGGTGTAAGTGAACTCCCAGCTGAAATTTCCAAGGTCCACTAGCTCTGAGTTGACCTTGTCCAGGGCAATCTGGAGGCCTGCACCCAACCTTTACATGCTGAATGGATGGGAGATGTTCCAGGGGGCCTGGAAGCCTACAGTGAGTTTAGCAGCCTCAAGGCAAGTCACTAGCACACTGGCAAAGAGCATCAGAACTAGTGTTGGGTGGTCACCCTGGCATTCAATCCCTGAACAGAGCCCCGACTCAACTGGGGCCTCAAGACATGTTTTGAGAGCCATGGATGGCATCTAACACCTGTATCACTGCAGAACTGTGAGAGGCTTAGCCTCCTGATTACTCCTGCCAGGAACTTATATGACAGTGTAGAGTTCCCTGAGGATCACAGCTTGCTTTCTATCCAGTGCCATTAATTAACCGAAACTCTCCCTTTTCAGAGTCTGTCTTAATACCATCTAGAAGCAGCAACCTTGCAGAAGGAGGCCGAAGCAGCTAGTCAGTAGGATCCTGTAGGATCCAGTGATATCCCTGACAAACTTCACGTTCCTGGGCAAGTCACATGATCCCTCTGTCCCTCTCCACCTGTAAAATAAGAACCATAGAAACTACTCAAATGGAGTCAGATGGCCCGGGCTGGAATTCTGACTCCATCACACATTAGTTGAGTGACATAGGACATATTACTTCCCCTTTCTATGCCTTCTTCTCCTGCTCTGTAAAACAGGGATAAAACTGTAATGAGGTCTTCCCCTAAGTGATATGGTAAAGACTAAAAGAGATCATACAAGACTAGCCCTTGGCAAAATATCTGGGCAAAGAGAGCCAGTCCATCAATGTTAGATTTGACAATGGTGTTGATGACGACGATGATCCCAGTAATAGTGATAATAATTATCACTTGTTGATTCCATCTTCTAGGACATTTTTATAAAATAAGTAAGCTTATGGCTATAAGGTTTCCTGACAAGTTGGCACAGTCTGTATCCCTCACTCAGGCTTTTAGGATGCTACTGATTGGTTATTGATGCATGAAATACTAACCCTCCCTCTACACAGGTCAGGGCAAGGAGCTGGGGGCAGCTCTTAATTGTCTGACATATCACAGGGATGACAGGACCCTTGGGAAGCCATTGCTACTCCCAAGTAAGATGGCCCAGCTCTTAGCCAGGAAAATCCACATGAGTATAAAGGGTTGAATTCCCACCTACTGTGGGCTTGCTTTCTGATTACTCTGGCAGGGAAGGAGCTGGCGTTTCACATTCATCTCAGGATTATGTGAGCACAGTCAACTTGCTATGAGTCTCAAGGCTTGATCTAAGGACCACCTACATCAGTCTCTCCTGATGGTTAGAAATGCAGATTCCAGGGCTTCTCTCCAGACCCTCTGAACCAGAATGTTTTGAGGTTGCTCTGGGAATCCATGTTCAACAGGTCCTCATATATCCCTAAGTAGACTGAAGTATGAGAACCCCTGGCAGTCTGAAGTGAGAAGAGGGAAAGAATAGCCAATAGCTATTCTCTACTTATCTTCCTTGAGTAGCAAGCCCCCAGGATGGAATTAAGAAGTCTTAGCTTTGGCCTGTCTCAGAGGGTCATTTCTAAACCCACGGACTGGGGGGTTGCTTCTCTCCAAACCAAATTCATCATAACTGCTTCTTCCCTAACCTGCAGTTTCTCTCTCTCCTCTGCTAGGACAGCTTGGGGTCAATTTGCGAAATCATCTGAGTCCAAAAGCTCACTGGAACCATAAGCAAAATCCCATGAATGTTTTTTGGCTCAGATGCTTACCGGTGTACATGACCCTGGACAAGTCAGTTAAATCTGTGCCTCAGTCTCCTGAATATCAAAATGAGCAGAGTAACACTCCTCCTGGAGGGATGTTATAAAGATACTGTGAGATTGCATAATTACTTAGAATGGTACCTCACATTTATTAGGAATCAATAAGGGAATTCTGTTAATAAATGTGTCATTGCACACGTCATGATCTCAAAACTAGGGCACTGGGAATAATATGTTATCTATGCACTTTGTGTTCCCTCCCCCCTTCCATATGTATCCTTTCTTTGATTTGTATTCCCACACTGGGTAATTTCTGATTCTTTGTGTTTACAGATTGCCTTTGTCCTGAGAATCTTTGAGCCAAGTGACTGTGTGTGTCCTTTTTGGATCCTAACATCAGCACAGTGTTAGGCCTCTAGGCATGCAAATTAATATCAATCATAATAAGTATAAGGATTTTGTATTTTTTTTTTTTTTTTTTTTTTTTTTTTTAGACGGAGTCTCTCTCTGTCCCCCAGGCTGGAGTGCAGTGGCGTGATCTTGGTTCACTGCAAGCTCTGCCTCCTGGGTTCACGCCATTCTCCTGCCTCAGCCTCCTGAGTAGCTGGGACTACAGGCGCCCGCCACCAAGCCTGGCTAATATTTTTGTATTTTTAGTAGAGATGGGGTTTCACTGTGTTAGCCAGGTTGGTCTCGATCTCCTGACCTCGTGATCCACCCGCCTCGGCCTCCCAAAGTGCTGGGATTACAGGGGTGAACCACCGTGCCCGGCCTAGGATTTTGTATTCTTAAATGCTTACAAGTGAGCATGGTCAAAACCAGAAGAAAATACCAATGGTGTTCAGTGTTGTTGTGAGTTTGAGAAACAGACATACACTGGCCGGTAGGAATGTTCATTAACAGCAGTTCTTCAATATGCACCAAACCTTAAGAATGTGTGCATATTGGACTCAAAATTCTAATTTGAGGTATTTATTACAAATAAATAAAATCATATGATCAGATTTAACGAGTGTGATTTCTAATAGTCAAAATTTAGACGCAGCTTCAATGTCCAACAGAGGGACCAGGATGAATAACACGTAGTGAATTCACACGACTAAGTGGCATGAAATCACTAAAAATAATATTTTATATACATATTCTCTTAGAAAGATAACCACAGTGTACTGCTAACTGATGAAGCGCATCATACAACAATATATATTAGTATTCCATTTTGTTTTTTTTTTTTTCAAAAGGAAAGATTACATACAACAAACGATTAAACGTGGCTCACTCTGTGTGACAGAAATGGGTGGTTTGTCCTTTGTTTATATTAATTTTCATTTTTTGTCTTAATGTCTTTGCAATAAGAAAGAAAAGTGAATATTTTAATTAAAAATAAACCCTACAGAATTGTACTTCTGGAGGATCAACACAGAAGGTGAAATTCAGCCACCTTAAACCCTCAGGTCAGGAGCACCCCACACTTACAGACACCTGGCTTACCTCTGTAGGCCCTAATTATTCTCTGCTGAGCTCAGCCCCTTCCATTTCTCCATTGCCCTCAGAGACAGAGATGCAGCGGTCCAGGTAATGGCCACTATGAGCTGGAAAATCATTGCGGTAGTTACTAGCCCAATTTGTGTGATACCTTTGATTGGCGGGAATGGAAAGGCTGAGGTTAAAACCAAGTTGGGGGGCGGTGGGTGTTGTAAGGACTGTGGCTGCCGGAGGGGGCACACTGTCCTCTACTTTGCTTCCCAGCCCTCCTTCCTTCTAGGGGATTCTTAGGCCTAGAAGTTACCCGTATGATTGGGAGAGGCCACGTTATTTCATCGGATGATGCTTTGGAACAGAAGTTGTCTGTGCTTGGCCAGCAGAGGTTCAAAGTGCAGCCCCCTCTGCCTGGGGTAACTCTTTAATTCCTTGCTACTTTATCCCATCTCTGTTTCCTGAACAGACTATTACTGAGGGAGGGTTCTTTCTGCCTGATTTGTGGCTTCCTCAATAGCGACCAGCCTAGTCCATAAACCAGATGCAAGGCCAGCTGTTCAGCATCCGAGATGAGATAAGATGAGCTGTATCCAGGATGGTGGGTTTTAGTAAAACCTCTAGCAACTTTCTAGCTGCCCTTCCTCCAGCTCCCCCTTTCTCCCTGCCTCACTTCAATTTCTAAATCAGTGGCCTGATCAAGTTTAGGTGAAAAGTAAAGGTTTGGCATGTTTGGGCTCTACTTCTCCCCCAGGGAAAAGGTGAGAGGCAGAAAGAGGTGCTTGACCTAAGTAGAATGCAATGCAGTGAGCCTGTGATCACGTTGGGGGAGAGGCAAAGTGAGCCCCTACTGGTGTGTTCCTGGAAAAGGCTTCAGCAAGTCCGTAAGACTACCTGAGCCTCAGTTTCCTTATCTGTGAAATGAGAAAAAGGCAGAGGGCAGCGAGCTCTGACCTTACCAGCCTCCTGCCCTAAGATACTAGACATCTGGTGGATTCCTAATGAATGGAAGACAGTAGTCCTGGGGGCCCTGCTGGGTGATGACAGCAAGTTTCTCTTCAGTTCGGGCTTACAGGTTCCTAACGGGAACGTTCCTGAAGGTAGAGCACACTGTGTACTCACTATTCCAGAAATAAGAGCAAGTAAACGTGGCTGTAACCTGTCAGGGTGTGAACTGCAAACTTCCCCTGTGTTCTCAGCTCTTACAAACAGCTGTGGTGCCAGTTCTGAAGATGCAGCTTCTACTAAGCAAAAGTTTGAGGAGCCAGAGGAAAGCAGAGTTAAGATCAAACTGAAAGATCGTGGCTCTTAAGGCTGCAACAAAACAAAATCCCCGGGATGCAAATCCTGTTAGTAATCACGCACACAGGCACCCACGACTCCCACAAGGCTGAGGATGAGGTGAGGCCTTGGCTGACTGACAAGAACGCTCTGGTCTTGTTTCTGAAAACGTTTGTGCCAAGAGAAGAAAATTCCTCCCTCCTGGAAGCCCTACCTGTCTTCTGTGTGCTTCAATCGTCTGCTATTTATCCTGTGTGGCTGAAATAGACTTTCTCATGACTGTGTCCTAATGGAATGAGTCTTTGACACCTGAGCAAACTTGGGGCTTTAAGAAATACTTTAAACAACCAAGCGTTCTCCCAGATATCACTATAATCTCAGGGGAAGAAGCTAGTCTGGCCTCAATGCCAGATTTCTGAATATTTATTTCGCAGTCTCTGTTTCTACTATTTCATAGTCTCTGCTCCTCCTCCTGCCCACATTATGCCTTCGTATGAAGAGCAAAAACTTTCAGAGGTTGTGAGGAGGAGAAGCAACCACCTGCTCCAGGTACTCGGTATTCAAAGATACGGAAGGACTAACAGTGATGTTATTAATTCCAAACCACTTTCCATAAAATTTTAGGTTTGCCAAGACAGCTTTGCTGTCATAGTGTCCCAAACACTGAGCAAATAAAGAATATGTCCTAGCCGGGAGCAGTGGCTCACGCCTGTAATCCCAGCACTTTGGGAAGCTGAGGTGG